TGGAACTTAGAGAGAACATCGTAGCAGTCCCAATCAGGGGCTCCTGGGCTGTCCTTCCACTTCTTCTTGTCTGGCCCATCGAGGTAGCTGACTGGGTTTGGATGGAAGCATAAGCCCTTGATCTTCCGGGTCTCCGTTACATATCTGTTGAGTGATTCGAGATAGTCCTGCATAGCGTGTCCGTCCGCGTTCGGTTGGGGGATCGCCGGTTCGGTAGCGGTAATGGTCATCTTCAGATAGGTATACCGTATGTTGAAGCAGTTGGAATTGGCCGAAACTTTGATGACAGGTGCAGATTTGCGTGCTCTTTTGAACGGTCCAAAAATTTCACACCTATAATGTCGTGCCGTGAAGTTATGTTGGTTTGAAATGTCCCTTGCGCCGGGCCGCCGACTTGGGAAAGTGAGAGTGTGTGTTCGAGAGTAAAGTGTTCTGGGAGTGAGTATTCTTTGCTGAGGAGGTTGTCTCTGGGAGCGTAAGTGGTAGAGAGTAGAGGAGAGGATAGAGAAAGAGAAAGGGAGAAGAGTAGCCGTTTGGTTGTCTCGCTCGCGCGTGAAGGCGGTGGGTGCGAGATACTGTGGGCCACCGACAAACGCTCCCGCCCTATAACCCTCTCTCTAGCCCTAAGGCATTGCGAAAGCTTAAGTAGAGACACACAAGGCACACAAGACAGAAGGAGTGGAGCAGAAAGTAGGAGTCCAATCATCTATATATATATTTTTCTACGCCTCGCTTACGCAACTAGGCAGGGATTGGTGCAAGCCTATCGGAATAGGACGGTCGCTGAACTCTAGCTGCAGACCTGCCGCCCGTTGGATCCGCTTTCTAAAATCGTAGTAAAAGAGAATGTATACCAGGGCAGGTACTAACGACCAGATGGATCCCAACTACACTATGTTAGAGCGGTTTCAACTGAGGGATGTAGAAAACTTGCCTGGAAGAACCACACATAGTCAGTTGAGATTTGGAAGGTTATTATCTTTGCAAGCACAACTATTGCTTGCCCAACGTCCAAGCTCAATGCAAGATGCGCAGGCAATGTTGCGCGATCTTGTCTCACACACAGCCTCGCGACTAAATGAAACAACTGTCCCCCAAACGAGAGCAAGTGCGCGCACCAGATCAACCTTCCCTGCAGAAAAAGATGCATGCTGTCCCCACACAGTTCTACAAGAGCTGACGCGAATTGCCAAGGTAGTCCAGAGAATTTAGCACACTAGTGTTTGTAAGTAAAACCGGCGAGGACTACAGCGGCAATCAACTACCTGGGCGATGAGGCATATTGCATATGTTGCCTCTAATGCGATTGCGTGCAAGTATTCGTCAGGGCGATGCCAAAGAGATAATGATCCGAGTATCACACCGGCTAGATACGCCAGGAAGGCTGCCATAGCGTACGTTATACCGAATTCTTTCAATGACATCCGTAGACGGTGAGGGTTGGCGGACCATTTCAGGATGCATGCGAGAAGACAGAATTGAATAATAGTTAGGTTGAGAGCAGCGAAGACGGTAAGGGCCTTCCCGTTCATAGCTGCAATTGAAGCGCAAAATGGTAGGATGCTTAGAAAAGAATCCATCGGACATATAAAGAGCTAAGAATTCCTGTCCAAATCCAGCAGTGAATGCGCACTCAACCGAACGTGGACGAACAATATTATCCCTGGATTGCTTCCTACTCATTTGGACTTTGACAGGCTAGAAATACCCTGTCAGCCATTTGGAGAGTCAATAAAAGTGGAAGGGCTGGCTGACAACCGACAAGACGCAGCTGCCGCAGCTTGTGCTGGTCCAATTTAACAAGAAGTTGCATCGGCGTGCCATATGCGGCATGCATGTACACAGTGCAGGACCCGGTTCCCCGACGCGCCAATCTGATGCACTGCGCGTCCGTGCGTAAAGCACGTCCCGGATACTTGTTTTCCCACAAGCTTGGGACATCCCACTGTCCGTGCACGTCACCCCTCACATGCAGCTTGCTCCACCATGGCCGAAGGACCGTCACTATGGCACAAACAGCACATACGGCGCGAACAGCATGCATTCTAATGAGTTCAAGATCAGACGAGGTCCAAGAGGCGATTGGGTATCGTGACGAACAATGGCATTGATTCTACGTGCGTTTATAGCCTCCGCAGCCTGTGCTCCTAATAACCATTAGGAAGTGGATTACTAGAGAAGAGGCAAAGCGAACCGGCGCGTCTTCCAGTTGAAATTGGGGTACTCCTCAAACTGTAGGCATAGTTTTGCGTAGGCAGGGAAGAGTTTAGGCCTCTTTCTGCACCTGAACCTCGTGAGGCCGCGCTTCTTTATCTGCGTATGGTGTCCTTCACGCAGGTCTGACTGCAAGAAAACTCCGCCGCAACTTCAGGTATTGTCGCGCCAAAATCACGCTTGGAAATAAGGCTTGCGCGTTGGGGGATTGTCAATTCACGTTTGCGCAATCGATTCACGGAGATAGCTTAAGTAGGTGCCTCCTCTCACGCGTGTCGCGTTTGGGTAGGAAGGACCCTGTACTGGTTAGATACCTTTGACACGCGACTGTAAATATTATGGAGCGAACTAGCATTATTATATTGCGTTTTAATAACTTTAAGCTAAACAGATTTTGCTCTCTTTGGCTCGACAAGACAGAGTTCCTTAGTACTGTAGCTATAGTCTCCCTCTATGTACATCCCGTGCCTTCGTTTTGTAGGCATATAGTTATAAAGGCAAATCCAGTTAGATGCACTAGACACTTCCGTCTCGGTCTGTTCGCCTTCATCTAATTCAGGAATAGTTGGCAAACTTGGTTTCTTCTGCATAAGAAGGACACTTCTCAACCCAGCCAATCTAAAGTGCGACTTTCCTACGCCGTACGACGGAAACTCCAATCAAGGGATTTATTAAGCATAGATGCCTTCATTCGAGATACGACTGCCAGCAGGCTGTCTGCTTCTCCATTACATTCAGCGGATAGGGGCGGCACGACCAAAGCAGACGTGGAGTTTGAGTGGCAGAATGTCCGCTTCTTCACCGCTTCGTCAACGTGAATTTGGACCCCAAATACGCAGGGACCATTCAATGCAGTACACTAGACCAAACAACCTTTTGTACGGCGATGTGGTGAAGCGGACTATACACGAACTTGCAGAACACTGCAGGAGGAGGAAGAGGCCAAACTTTCTACAATTATTGATGCGGACAAAATTCTTATAGTAGACAGTGGGAAAATCATCGAGCGCGGGACGCACAAAGAGCTACTTAAGCAAGGGGGCGTGTACACACAACTTTGGGAGACGCAAACAGATATTAATTAGGTCAAGAACTTTTAACTGCTACTTTGCTGAAGGAAGCCGCCTCTCGAGATCTCTCTTGACATCTTCTTCCCACGATGAGCTCCTAATATTGTTAGCGCAACATCTTGCAATCGCGAGGATAGCCTACTTATCTAGATCAAGGTCGACTACTGTGCTTGGTTGGAATCCGTAAATAAAATATTTAGGTCGAGCAACGCTTTGTTTCTCTTTCTTCCCTTTCCCGTCTTTTACGTCACCGTATTTGTGGCAGTTCTTGTGTGTACAGCTGCAGGTGCAGGTGATAAAGCAGGATTGTGTTGGGTGGAGACGCTGGTATAGATCATGTTTTCTCTCGATAGGAAGACTTTTAGGTGATATTGCCGCTGCTGTGATAGGCTGGAGATTCGATGCTGTCTCTAAAGAACATGATGGAGATTGACTCTCTCTGTTGGAACTGGAAGGCATAAGAGCGACAAACAGAGCTGTGAAATATTGATGCGGAATAGCGCCTTCTTCACAGATATTATATGCATGCGACGTTAGGATTTCCTTTGCCGTCTCCCTCATGTTTGCCAATCTTTTCCCTCCAGGAGTTGTTGCGTGGAAGCGACCAGCTGCATGGCAAGTGCCATACCTACGTATGGCGCCCCCTGGTGATCGACACAACCTTGGAACCGTCTACAAGCTTGGGGACTTTCGTGTCAGTGCACGGACGTTCTGCCAAGGGCACTAAGGCGGCGGACGCCGGAAGCTGAACAAACACGGACCACCGCACACACCGTCGCTTCAGTTCATCCCGTCTCAACCGCACAGACCGGCCACACCTGCCACAAATTAAAACTGCGGCATCCCGACAGTATGGAGATAAAAACCTCGTTAAACTTTACCCTGAATGCCACAATTACGCATCCTTCCCGGCAACAGAGCAGATCCAGCTGCTTGACCGCGTTAACGGAAAGCTCTCTGAAGATGGGATCCCAGCAATTACTGCAAAAGTTCTCCGGTGGCGCATGTCAAGCCTAGTCCGAGAACTGCGAAGGAGACAACGTAAGTTTATCTGTGCGTTAGTGGCACTTGCTTACACCTGTAAAGCAGCAAAACAAACGAGATCTGCAGGTGGCCGCACGGATAATGCTCCAAAGAGGACATTCGACCCGGTGAGGGACATATAGTGCATGGGCATGGTTATAGTGGCGCTTGATGAGACGGGTTGCTTCTCTTCCGTTTTTCCGTGGATATTGTACGGGGTTGGGTACTCTTAGATGCCCCCGATGCTGGCACGCTCCCCTTGTTTCCCATTTCTTTCCATTCGGCGCAGCTAGAGAATACCACGAAAAAACCCCCGAAATGTTGATTAAATGCTCAACAACGAGAAGTGCTCCAGATCTCAATCTGTACTCTATTGCTGTCTTTGCTTCTATTATCCGCTGACAGATATGCAGGGAATCAGTGTTGAGCGAGTGTGCATCCAGGATGCACTTACGCCTAGAGCACCATGAGTTCGGAGGCCTCTCTCTGACCACCCTGCGACGGCTCAATCATGAAAAGGTGCTTATGGTCCTGGGCATTCTTCGAGAAGAGGTTCAGAAGGTTGCCATCGCTGCCCACGGGGCCGGAAAAGCCGCATTTGAGCTACTTGCCGAATCCAACAACGAGATTATTGGTGATAACGATGTGGAGGGGCAAGGCATGGACCAACAAGATGTGGGTGAGCAAGTTATTGAGGCTGATGACGGGGTTGGGCCAGCAACTGTGCCGGACCGGCTTAAGCATGCAATGAGAGACGTTGCACAGTGGATTCAAGAATCTCATGCACATACTGAATGGTGTAGAAGAGACTATTACTTTTTGTTCATGCAATCGTCAGCAAAGAAAATCTACATCTGTACGGTTCGCGAAGGGGATGATCCGAAGGAGGAAGCTCAGGTGCGCTGGGAGGAAGCAAAGAAATTTCTGCAGCTTTTCCTTGTGTCGAACAACTTGGTATACAGGTGAATGAAATTGTCCTTCATAAGGGGCCGTTCTTACGAGCCCCGTCTTTTCTCAATACACCATCTATCCAATGCACGGAGGAGCCCTATGCGGACAGCCAAAGTATCCAAATCGCCTACCTCAACCCGGCCACGGAAGTAGTCAGAAAAATCCTTGAAGCGTCGATCAACCGTATAACTGGCTCCGTCATGGAGATATGGCCCACGGACTCTCCTCGCTCTTTCCTGAAAACGGATCTCGCAGTCGAGCCGTTCAAATCGCAGCAGAGCCTCCAACCCAAAGCCTACCTCATGCCGATTAATTGCATCTGCTATCGACTTCCAGAGGGGGAGAAGCTCTTCCCATACACAATCGCGAGCTAAAGACGCTATCACCTTGTCTGCCAAGCCCAGTCGCGATGGTTTGGCGTCCTTGAAGCAGACTTGTCAGCGGGAGGATGGGGTCTAGGGGGACGGGTCATAAATACTTCGTGGTTCGCCTGAGCTTTGCGAGCATGTATTACAATAGTATCTGGACTGAACGTCCACCAGTTGTGCATAGCGTCCGCCCAAGGTCGCCTACTGCCTTCCGTGACGTTGCTGTTTTCTTCCCCGCAAGATGGGCATTGAATGCTGCCTAACGGTAATCTATCACGTTCGTCCGTGATAAATTGAACCAGGTGGTGAAAACAGAACATGTGGCCTGATTGTCTATTAGTTTAGTGCTTCAACGCAACACATATGCATGCTTACCACACTGTAGAATTTCGATTCTCCTTTTCTCCTTTTGTTCAGTGGTAGAGCACATAGAACAAGGTCTGTTATAGACTGTCCTATACTCCATACTGAATTGCAAATTTGACGGGTGCTCAGAGCAAAGTGGAGGCTCGCCAACGAAAACCTTACGTCGCGGGGGACAACTGCTGCAATAGAACCGGAAAGCCGTACACTCGCATCGAGTTGCGCAAAGCTTGTCGCCAAGAGGACCGCAGCACTGAGAGCAGACAGGAGCAAGTCCTGGCTCCTTCCTGTTGTTCAGGTCCGAACTTTCATCCTCTGATTCCGTAACATTCCCCTCTCCACCGGCCAGTTCCTCTCTGCTGTAGAGGGTCTTGGAATCATTCCAATTGTCCGCTTCCGTCCCTAGCTCGTCCGTATCGCTCGAGTGGAAGATTTTCGCGGCGGAGTACCGAGGAACGGGGGCCATGAGAGGAATATCTGCCTCAACAACTGTCTTTGGGAGCTGAGTTGACGCTGAGGCAATCATGCCTGCAGGGGTTACGTCCTTCGTGGTCCTTAGCAAGCCTACACTGAGAGTAGGGGAACCTATCTCGTCGTCAATAGGTGTTATTGGACTGGAACATGAGGAACAAGGAGAGAGCATAGTTGCAAAAGGAAATGGACGGATGCAAGGCGAAAAGGAGTTTGAACAACATAGGTGAAAATGTGCCGTATTTATACCTGCGGCCAGCCAACGCTTGGCGAGAAAGCTCAAATGCGGCAAGGATGACTCCGCTAGCAAATTTTCCACTCACCTAGATTAAGAAGGAAGATAACGAATGAATGCGCCTAGGGGGCGTCGGGTGGCTTGGTTACTTGACATGAAACAACCCGGTACACGAGGTGCACAAGCTCCTCATCAGTCACTCGATAGGCTATCGATAACAGAATATGATACAACAAAATACAATAATCATACAGCAATTGGATCTCCTCCACCCATCCCCTCCTCCCTATCCCCTCCTCCCTATCCCCTCCTCCCTATCCCTTCGACCCCCGTTCTTTTCACAAATCTACATACAATCTTCGCGTATGAAAGTCACCAAATATGTGTGCGGCCCCTCGGACTGGTGCATAAAGCTGTCAGCCCAATGGGCCAACGCCTTCAGGAACCCAGATTCAAAGCCCGAAGGCTGAGTCTAGACAGTTCCATCTCCAAACTACAGAAATCTTACTTCAGAGTTCGGGCTTCACCTCAGCCGAAAGGGACTCCGAAGGAGTTTATAACTGAGGATCCAGCGGCAATTGACCCTATTCTCATGCTACTTTCAATTGGCATACAACCCTAATCAAGGGCATCCTCAAAAGAGAAGATGGAGGCATTTTTCCCCAGAGTCAGACTCTCCCGACGAAGCTGTATCCGCAAGAAAGCCGTACAAGTACGACGCGATCGAACAGAAGAACTTGGTGACATTTCAGTGCGACCTGAAATGGAGCCCGTAGGCAAAGTGAGGTGCCCGAAGGCAAAAGCTCCCAATGAGCAAATGAAAGATCCAGATCCAGAAAGATGTCGACTTCCAGAAGGCGAGTAATCTAGAAAGTTGTCGAAATCCGGAAGGTAAGTAATCCAGAACCAGGAAGGGAGCAGCGGAGTGGAAACTATATACAAAGAAAACAAAGAAAAGAAACTGCCCACTGGAGAGCCACTCCAGTGGGCCTTCCAGATAGGTGGCGAGCCTACTGGGCATACAAACCTGACCCACCCACCTCAACCCAAGAGGCAGATATTGTTTCGACTCGGCCGGCGGTGAAGAATCCTGCTGAAGATGAAGATGGGGTGTTTTTTGAAGGGAAGGAGGGAGACTCAGCAGAAAGGGAGGCGAGGAGTGGAGTAGGTGGATGGGAGAGGGAGAAAGTAGGCGAAGAGCGAGGTTTATATATTTCGATCTAGCTGGATTCACCTTCACCGTGCTTAGGTTGAGAAATGAAGAAGAAGCAAGATAGAGAGCGTAGGTGGACGGTTTGACAGCGGAGATACGTATGTAAGATACATACTCAACATTCTCACCTTCACCGCTTAGGTGAATAGAGAGGGGATGGAGAAGGAAGTTGTAAAGAGTGTTAGACCCGCGGGTACTCATATATATGCAACCTACCTTCACTAGGTGTCTGCACCTAGTGAACGTAGAACGTAGGAGGAATAAGGGTTCATTCACTATTCACCCTACAAAGTCTTCACCATTCACTGGGTGTTTCACCGGGCGCCGACACCCCCCTGAGATTCTAAGAGGAGGAGTAAGGGTTGTTGGCCATTCACCTGCTTTGTATTGCTGCAAGGCACCGTCTTTTGCAAAGTCCTTCACCATCCACTGCCTATTCCGCAACCGAACTGTAGCCCAAAACGAGGGAAGGTTTCTCTCTCCACTTAACTAAATATCTCAAAGCTTATAGGCATCGCCACCGGCTCACGGACTCTGAGTGTCGCCGAGGATGACCTGAATGGGGACAGCCAAGCGAACACAATCGCGATATGACGCAGGAGTCCTGTTGACTGAGAGGCGCTGCTTGGCGGTAGTCATGCAGGATCACATGGGATGTCTCTTACTGGCTTGATTGTGTGATGACTAGACTCTAGGCAGTGGGGCGTAGCTGAGGGGAGCATATATAAAGCGCTGCTGCATCGGCCCCATTCCATCTTCCTTTCTCTCCCCTCCTAGCCCTCGCTTCACTCGCGAAGTACTCACTTGGTTGAACGCCTACCATCTCACTTGCAGCCATTATGTCTTTTGAACCACCCTACGCCCACGCAGACGGAGCCTTTTCCTCCCTAATATCAAACTGCAGTGTCGACCCGGCATGGGAAGCCTTGGTGGAATGTTCGCTTCCCAATCGCACAGGCCTATTAGGCCATGACGAATCTTCGACCTCCTTTAATGAGGATTATGCTTCCTCATCCTCGTCATTTGCTGACGACGATGCTTTACTTTCGGAATTCGTTCATTGGCCACAATCACGATCGCCTTCTCCTTCCTCCAATGACCCACCCACTGAACACGAAAATAAAGATGTTCCTACCGACAACCACACCATCCAGAATGTTGACATCACTAAGCTGAAGGAGCTGTGCGATGCTCCTGCCCAATTTGGTAGCTTACCAGGTGGGTCTTCCAGTCGTCTGCCGCTTGCTACTCCTGACATGCGCACAGCAAACCCAATTCCTATTGACGACGATGACGGTGTTATACCCGCTCTGAACCCTCCTAGTACGACTGGAGAAGCTCGAATGGTGACAGAGGAGACTCGCAACCAATCAACAACTGATAACGAGAAGAAAAAGGACGGGCAGTCATCAATTTGTAGCCCTAGGATGAATGGGCGTAAGAATAAAGGCAAGCGAAAAGTGGCGGACATGACCCCGTGGGGTGACCCTGAATTCGAGAGAGGGGTGGAGAATCGACTCACGATGGTTTGGGAAAAGCTCGAGCCTATCTGGGAGGGTATCCAAGACATAATGTGCAAAGTGGCGGAGAAAACCAGCGAGCCGACGTTCAACAGCAGTTGTAAAAGACTGAGCTACGCCGTTCAAAATGCCTATGACAACCTTGACATCGACACAGCTTCCGAACTCTTGGAATCCTGGAAACAGGCTGAAGTCTTTCTCCGGCTACTGGTCCTCTATGTCGACGAGCTTGACGAGAATCATGTAACACAGTTCAACGATTGCGTGCGCGAGTTACAATACCAAGCAGAGATATGCGATGCTCTTCGAACGCCCCCTTACATTGGCAGAAGGAAGAACGGGAAGAAAAGACGGGTGAATAGTAAGCATTGAAGGTGCTTCTTCAATTTACAATTTTATGCGCTATGTCCTCTCAAATGTTCCCGAACATCGTGAATCACGCCTAGATGCCATGGTTCCGTAAGAGCATCGTCTTCATCTGGGAGACTTCCAACCTCAGGAGACTGATCCTCCTTCTTCAACTCTACCACATCTTCCTCGGCAGAGGGTTGGGCGTGTTTCTAGCGCAATTAGCACGTTTTACCTGATTCTTGCTTCACAGGCGCACTTCTCTCTCCACAACTAGCTCAGCCTTCGTTTCCTCCAGCTCCCGCTTAAGCTTGTTTGCCTCGACGCGGTGCTCACCTAGCACATCATACACCTTCTGGCAAGCATCTTGCCACTGAGCAATAGCTTCTGTAAGCTTCCAGACTTGGCTCTCAAGCGCGTTCTTGCGGGCTGTTTCCTGAAACAGCTCAGTGCGTGTCTGGTTGTGAGTCCAGATCTCAGTCTCAAGGATCTGGCATAGTTGGAGGTACAGATCTGGCTGCACGGAGAAGGTGTAGTAGGCTGATTGACCGTGCACGCTCTCGGCGCTCACCTCGCTGGATGGGACCAAAGTTTCTGTTGCTCGAGATGAGCCCTGGCCTTGTTGTTGCACGAAATCCGAGGGCCACGCAGACATCTTGGAGGCAGTGGTATGATAGCTACTGAGGCCTTGTAGAGTTCTTTTATGTTTTTTTAGTTAGGGGGGCGGAGCAGCGACTTGACATTGAACGGGATTCTGTTCTACCGACAGGAGGCAAAATCCTGATTACGGGTATGAGGAGGACGTTATTCGGATACAGACTCCGAACTCCAGGCCTCGTCACACTAAGCAACAACTGTGTAAAAACTAGAATAAGCACGAGGTCTTCCCTATTAACAAAACCATGAGTTCGAAATTTATTCAGGAAGCATTCCAGCGTCACCCCCGACCACAATGGCCTACAAAAGCTGCACTCCTAAAAGACACATGGCAGAAGCAAGACGAAAAGAAGAATCAGACTACTAGCCAACAACTTCCACTCCAACAATGTAATCCATGGACAACGCTAGCGAAACTTGGGGAGTTAGTACAGGCTGGAAAAAGCTACACAGTTGGACTTCAATGCAATCGAGTAATAATGGTAAGGCAGACCAAGAAGGAGGTTGGCGAAGCTCTCTTGGAGAAGACGAAGCTGCTTCAACATCGCAACCTCCATAGCATCGAGGCAATCTTCCAAGAGCAGGGCAGCATCTTCTTCCAGCTTGAGCATTTGCGATTTACATTGGAAGAAATCCTAAACGTGCATATAAGTCTAGAAGAGCACCAAATCCGTCTTATTGCTGCATCTGTAAGCCTAGCCTCGCATATCTCTTCGTGTAAGTCTAAGAAAGAATAGGCCTTCTTTGCGATCAAGCACCTAGCTGCCGCTGGCATAGTCCATACCGGGATATCTGCTTCAGCAATTAGAGTCCGAGGGAGTACTGGAGAAGTAATTCTAGGCAGGTCTTCGAAGCAAATGTATAATAAGTTGCTAAGTATCTTATTAGGAAACCTCGAAGAATGTGTATGGCAGACCCTCGATCTGACCCCTAATGTAGACCTACAGCAACTTGGGTGCGTATTGCTGCAATGTATGAACGGGCGACCAAGCAATATGCTTCAAGATCCAAACTTTGTAAGGGAACAAAGACAACAGAGCAAGTTTTTTGGTTTAGAACACGGGGAGACATGGAGTAGCTGTAAGCTGCTAGTTGACTTTCTGGACGACCTGCTTAACGAGGCGAAACCAGCACTGTCAAAGCTCGACCGACCAGTATGTGCTTCCAGCGTCAAAAATCATTGCTAACAAGGCGCAGCATCAGTACGTTTCGGGGCCGTTGGATCCCTCAATTCTGCTACCATTTATAGAGCTTGTGCCCCTTGAATGTTTTGCGCTGTGGCGTCCGGCGGTTAACGTGTAAGATGGGACTAATTTCAAGGGTTTTAATCATTGGTTAGGCCATTGGATAGAAATAGAATTTGGTGATTGCTGTTTTCCGGTTTTCCGTTCTTTGTTGTGGCGTAGGGCGGCTAAGTTCCGCTAACAACAGAAATGCTCTACATAAGCTGGGCAAGCCGCTCGAAGTCCTACAACCTCACTCCAGTCATGTCTTCCTCTCCAGACATCAACATCGACTGCATCGCAGACCTACACGATCCCTTCTCTATGAATCCTGCCGCTGGACCATTCATCCCAAACTTCCTCGCCTGCGACGAGGCATGCGAGAGGGAGGACCGCCCGCCTCAGCATGACTTCAGCGACTACAACATGGCACGGCTAGCATACCTAGAAGTGTACGTTTTATTAGTAATTTGCAAAAAAAGCATATGCTAACAGCACCACAGTGCTCTGTACGAGGCACGACAAGAAGCGCAGAATCTCCGCCGGGACATCGACATGATGGATCAGTGGATCAAAGAGATCTACAGCTACATCCTGCAGCTGGGAATCTACCAATTCCCGGCAGCCGCAACCTACGACAACCAGGTACCCGCGAACCAGATTGGGGACTCTGAACTCAATGCCACCACCAACGGCTTCCCCGAAACTGATGTATCTAAACGGTCTATGGAGGAAGGGACATGTGAAGCTTTCAAGTAAACTATATAGAAACATTCTAGGCCCTAGAGTAGCTCAAGCATCCTATCTCAAGCATCCTATCTCAAGCATCCTATCTCAAGCATCCTATCTCAAGCATCCTATCAAGCATCTTATCAATCTACTCTATGGCCCCTCTTCGAGTGCGTTTCGCAAGACCACTTGTCACCTCATTCTCCAGGGGCCCAACACGACTAGAACGACTTTATCTAGACTTACTAGAGGGCCATTGCGATGGCTGTTCGCGGTGTTACCTGTTAGTCTATGGTGCTTATCCAAGAAGGGGTCTCTGCCGACGGGGACGCGGGCTTGCCAACCTCATCCTACATACCTTCCGGGTTGAACCCGATGGCCGAGTGTACAGTCAAGAACTTGAGTATGGACTACCTGCTGTTGTTGAGCTATCTCGTTATTATTGGGCAACGCATAGCGTATTAAAGGACGCTTATCCACGATACTATACGCGGTGCTATAGCTATATGCGCCCCGTCTAATAATATTCTTCCCTTCCTATTGTATTGCGTCCGTATAATTGCGTGAAAAACACTGAAAGTCCTTGCTCTCTGTTCCATGTTGAGGGGAAAACAGCTGCTGCGGGATTCTGACAAATGAAAATTAACCAATCGCGGCCACGGATCCACTCCGCAGACGAATTAACCGCGCAGGATTCCAAGATCCAACATTGAAGCTTACCCCTGTAGGAGGATTCTTTGTTCTGAAGACCGTACGGGACCTAGAAGAACCAACAGACCGTAGCCGCGCGGGATTCCTCAGTGCGGGATTGGGTATGGGAGAAGTCAGTGCCGTGCGGGATTGGGTATGGGAGAAGTCAGTGCCGTGCGGGATTGGGCTATATGGGAACCTCAGATTCGAGAACTCAGTGCCGTGCGAGATTTAGGATTGAGTCGTACGGAATTTGTGATACGGGAATCTGAGAGCTAAGCCACAGACCGTACGGGACTTAGCCGCGCGGCATTCCTCAGCTTTCTCGTACTGGTACCGTGCGGGATTGGGCTATACCGGAACCTCAGATTCGAGAACTCAGTGCCGTGCGGGATTGAGTCGTACGGAGTTTGTGATACGGGAATCTGGAGAGCTAAGACCACAGACCGTACGGGACTCAGCCGCTTTCTCTCGGTACCGTGCGGGATTGGGCTATACCGGAACCTCAGATCCGAGAACTCAATGTTGGAATTTTGTGAATACAGGAACCTGGAGATCGCAAACGGATTGCTGCCCACAGACCGTGCGGGATCCATCGCCACGGGATTAGCTGGAAATCACACATGCTGGAGTTCGCAGATAGAACTGAGACATGTTCGCGCCTCCAACCCCGCAAAGACAAGTTCCCTGGGCCTACCACAGTATGCCACTAAAGCCACACGCGGTCAGATTTGAAGATAACAACACTTGGCGTAGACAGGGCGACAAAAGGACCAATCAATCCTCACGCATCCTAAAGCCAACTCACCGATTTTTGCAGCACGAGCAATCCTGGGAACATGTGCGCTCTTCCTCTGATTTGCTCAAGATGCGCCCCTGAGAACCGCCTAGCTGCATGTCAATTCGCCGTCTCCGACCTGACATCGATGAACCGTGGCGGAGCACAAGTCGCCGCTGGTTGCAGCATTCTCAGTGCTGCATCATCATTGATCGGACCACAGTACTCTGTTTTAACGGGCACGCCACGCAATTAAGCTTGCAAACACTAACAAGGAGATATTTGTTCAATGAAATATGTGGTTAATGGCCAGAACCTATGCACCAAAAATTCGCCGTTCCCTCCTACGCTTCCCGAGTGACTCCCCCTCGCGGCAACTCGTACAGGAGAGTGAAGGCACATTCGAGCCTGTTAATGGTCTCGTCCTTCTCCTTGCTCTCGTTGGCCAGTTGATTGATGCTCTGTTGCATTTCTCTGATCTGGACCTCAAGTTTTTGGAGTGTTTCCAGCATAGCGGTCTTGCTTTTGTAGAGGTCCAGTCGCGACATTTGGAGGTTGACTTCAGAGCGCCTGTGTCTTGCGGCAAGTGATAACACTTGCTTATCTTTTTCCGCAATCGCTCCGTGTAGATGCTGAACATAGGTGGCGAAGATGCCACAGTGGTCGCAGTGGTTCGTCTAGACAATTAATTAAAATGTCGCAAAGCTAGGTATACAGACTCACCCGTCGTTGCAGTTCATCCATTTCTCTGTTCGTTGGAAAGGAATCAATAAAGACTGAAAAAGGTGGCCTACCCCTTCAAATAGTGCGATTCTAGCCCACAAAACAGAGAACGGGAATGCGGTCATGATAAGCTTAGGTCTGCCCTGCATGGTGGCAGTGGTGCGACCTGTGCTGACATGCATGCGGCGTAGATCCTAAGCGCCGCAGGTTGCACATACTAATAGAAGAGTATTGCGGCGTAGATCCTAAGCGCCGCACGTTGCACATACTAATAGAAAAGTATATGAATAGTATTCGCTATAGAGGTCTCTATGGTAATGTATAATTCAGCTGAGAAAGGTTTCCAAACGGGGTATCATCAGGTTGAAACTCTCCGTTAAGAAAGTCAACAGTGTAGTTGCTTCTGCAAACACCTCTCCGAACGCGGTTCTCAAAGTGCGGGTCCCCACATGCTTAAGAGGTGTTACTAAAGCACTAAGAGGAATAAGGGCTATAATACTTACCTACGGTTAACATGTTCCCTGCCTCAGCTTGCCACTCTTCATTAATCCACAGGTCAATGTCAATCTCATTTAACATGTATATCCGACTCCTTAGCTCTGGGAGAGCAGAATTTCGCCCTTCCGCGGATCCTTCGAGTGAAGACGGGGTTGTGATAAAGATATTCAGAATCTTCCTATCATCTAAGTCATGCAGAGCAAGGAGAAAATTCACCGCCCAACACATTTGGTCTGTATTTCTAATTAGTATAGTAAAGGGATGACTTCAAGAGGGCTTACCTCTGCTTCGTAGGAACCAGATAAGGGTTAGGCGGCGTATCCGAGCTGTCTGCTTGTTGTGAGAGACAAGCAGGTGGCGGACAGGCATTAGGTGGTGAGCAATGCCGATGCCATCAGCCATGAAGAGTACTTTGTCATAATCTTGAAGCTTTTCCAAGCCAGCTCCGCCATATGGCCCGTCGATGCTAGCTGACATATGTTGGGGCGTGGAGGCTCTCATCCTAGTCAAACTTAACCGTCTACTAAAACCTCTTCTACACTGAACAAGAAGGGTGATTACGTGCGATGATGCGTCGTCACTGTCCGATGCCCATGCGACCATGTACGGATGGGACTCAACAATCCCAGACCAAAAGTACGCAGGCTGCCGTAGCGACAAGTATACGTACTGCCCCGGTCGGACATTCCAAGGCCTTTTTAGAGAAACTTGAAGCTGCACTATCTCTTCAGTTCCAAAAGTGTTTGGGTATCGGACCAGTGTAGCTTCGCACCGAGGACCAGACCCTAGGTTCCGATAGAGGAAGAATCCCAACCACAGAATCTTTTGTATAGAAAAAAGAGTAACAGCTGAGATTAGGCACACAAGACTGAATAGACCAAGGTGGGTTATGTGGAGCCAAGATAAAATAAGGACGGCAAATGACAGGAGTCGATGAGTTGAGAGGAATGTCTCGTAGATCCGCCGTCGAACGTAGACGAATGACATGCATCCTATTGCAGCAGTAACTGCAAGAAGCTTCAAACGCTTAAGCATTTCGAAAAGAGAATTAGGGGTAGACAAACCGAAATCTCATAAGCGTTGATCGATCGACGGTCAAGGTAATAGAGAAGCCCATGAAGCAACGCTTCCACAAGCGAAACCCGCCCGATCCAACGATGCAAAAAGGAGTATTCTGTTATTGTCCACTTGAGTAGTTTGTCTATTACAATATTGGTCCTTCCGCCTACGAATAGGACAACCATATTCAGTATAGACAGCCTTGCTAGACGCATCGACAACTCAGCTTTTGTTTGCACAGCAAGCGTAGAACCAACAATGTTTCCAACCGCGAACAGAATAGCTAGTGCCACGGAAAAGATAGTAGCATCAGTACTTCCACGGGCTCTTGGAAAGACAACTGTATAGAACAGCCACCTTGAAACGACAGAAAGAAATCGTTCCCGGGCTCGAAGAACAATAAGATTCCATGCTTTCCACAAAAGAATAAGACTAATAGTTGATGCGTATGCGATCGCGTACAAGATAGTAACATGCATAGTGTATGCAGAAACAGATCAAGGGTGCTCAATCCCTTCCAGAGGAGTGCTGTTAAGGGGGTTTTGATGTTGCGGACTACTGCAAAAAAGATATACAGAAAGCGAATACGTAAGGCAGGTATCCGTTGTACACAAACTGGGTACAGGACCTAGATTCTTGGTTTTGGTTTCCAGTAACGCGGAGCGGCAGTGCTGTGCAGGCGTTCGCATGATTCGCTTGTTTAACCGCCGAACAATCGGAAACGTTTCATTGCCCAGGGTGGTGTTAGCATGATGTTGGCAGGACATGCAAAACTGCTCACGTGCTCTGTGGTACTTATAACAATATTCCCGACGCTGTAAACCGCTTTTCGAGTTGAGTATCGGACATCTACATCCTCCCTTTCCCGTCATCTGAACACGGCAAGCTGCTGCACACAATGCCAAGACCGCCGCCACGGAACAAACTACGCTCCTTCAAGGACCGAGCTAATGGGCTTTTCAAGAAGGGTGCCGAGCTACATCACCTTGACGATCTTACCGAAGTTCATGTTATAGTGCAAAGGGAGGGGTCCAACCCGCTGATCTTCACGTCTTGCGAGCAGGGTATCGGCAGTTGCGTAAGCCAGGAATGGGTAAGTCTTTTGCTAATTGCCCGGCTCAAATCTAATCCCAATGTTAAGGTCGACGCTCAGTGTGCTATCATCAAACGCCCTGCAAACTTCCAATCACTTAGTGAGGGAATCGAGATGGGCCGAGCCCTATATGTCCCAGCGGATCTGTTATCACAACCGTCGTTGGGGTCTTCACCTTCTGCGAATAGCTCCTTGAGTATGCCTCGCACACCTCCGCAGGACCTTGAAGACTTGCTCCCCCGCTACGATACCCCAGTCAACCAAACCGATACTGAGGAAGGCTTGCGCCCTCCACTTCCCGTACACACTAGGCAAGGAACTCGCAGCTGCACGCCAACCCCGTTGCCTCCAACTGCAGCCTTGGGGTTATTACCGTCTAAACGTCTTTCCGACTCTACTGTCTCGCCTGCTAAGAGGCAGTCTTATGGGTTTTAGGCACGGGCTATGTACAATAACTGTTCCTACCATGTAGAATACAATCCATTCTTAACCTATGAATTCATCCCCTATGATTTCTCGCGTGGCAGTGTGATCTACGAACTGCGACTCTCTAATGCATGCATCCCTCCATGCATTTAAAGTTGCCTCGCTCCCTACAAATAATACTTTTGTCTTGAGTGAAGCTCCCATGATGTCCTCAATAGACCTGTTTGTTACTATAAGATAGGTGCCACTACATTGAACACGCATCTCGCCATTCTGTTTCTCATACTCAAGGAGCTCACAGAAGACCTCTTCTAACTCTTGTCGATGTCTATCCTCGCGAAGGGGATACCGTATACATTGGAATGAGTCAATAGCTTGCCGCAACAAGACTATCTCGTATTGGGTAGTAGAAATACCTGGAGGGTAAATAGGACTCCATTCCTTAAGGGAAGTTGCTGCGTCATTGGCTTGGATCAGTGGTGATCGGATCAGACTAGCGGTTGTCTGTGTAACTGCGACCTCCCCAGCGAGCTTTGAATACCTTCTTGATTTTCGTTTGGTTCCAAAACTAGGGGAAGTTTTGCCGACTCTTTTACGTTTCTGCACAGACCGTTGGTTCTTATTCCAAAGATCTTTAAGTGCAGTAGCAAGCTCATCCTTTAGCCTTCTTCTCTCCTCTTCTTGTGCAAGTTTAGTGAGACGTAGCTCCTCGCGAACCTTCGCAAGCTGACTCTCTAACTGATCTTGACAATTTTGGTTATGCTCCTTTGGCTGCTGCACCTGCAACCAGGAAGCCTGAGCTGAAGGGCCAAGTTGAGTGTCAAGTATCCTAATTGGACCGAAAAAATGCGTAAAAAGGTCCTGTCGGACAAATGCTAAGGTAGCATCTGAACTTTTATAATCGCCATATATCAATGGAAGAAAGAGAGTTAACTTGTCAACAGCATAGTCATCTTCAAAAGGTCGACCACAACGCCTCTCTGGGGTGATTTCTGATATCGCAGATTGGGATTTTAATGTTTGGACAGTAGATGGAGGGCGCGTTCCAGCATCTATAACTGCTCTCACTTGATCTATGCTGTAATCAGAAGCAATAGGATTTGCTTTCTTAAGAAAATCGATAGCTAGTGCAGTTTGCGAGTCCTGTTTAGAAAGAAGTAATGCCCTATGGGTACGAAATCCTCGGCTTATAGCAAACTTGGCGAGGTATTGCAAAAGTAGTGGGTTAGGACCTTTAACCAAGGGCTTTGGTTTCTTAGCTTCTTTCCGAGGCGTAAATGTGGTAAGTCCGTCTAGGTGACGGGCGCAGAATGCCCATAGCTCGAGATATGCAATTTGCGCCAGAGCGTCTGGTTCAGCAGAGATATCAAATTCTGCCTCATAGTTTGCGTCCGTCTGGATATATGACTTCGCTGGCGGTGAATAGCTGCTTAACAGTGTTGACTTCAATGTCCCGTGTATGTCGTTGCCTAAAATTTGCCGAAGAGAATCGCAACAAGGCTCGAGAAATTTAAGGTTCTCAAAAAAGGTCCACAAAGACGGAATAAGGCAGGTAAGGCTGCAAATGTTTTCTAACAAGCGAAGCCTAGTGCTGTCATCGAGTATATTAGGAAAGAGAACTCGTTCCTTCATTAATTTCTGGATAATGTACTTGTCTGAGTCGGCGCACGGTCTAAGAAGTTGCAGCTTCTCAACAGTTTTAGAGTCAACAACAGAAGCAGGTAAGCTTCCCGAATTGCAGGATAGGATCTTCCGCCAGGTAGTATCAACATGGCTTAGATAACAAATCATTTCCTAGAGCACATTAGAAGCAGTTCTATGATTTAAAGGCGACCTACCTCATCGCAACGCAATTTCAGGAGACGGTGGAGAGATCCCAAATGGACTTTTGACCAAAGGCCTGGTATGTCAACTAGGGCATCAAAAGCTGATATCAGATTTTTGTGCTTTATAAGCTGGCGCAGGTCTTTTGGTTTTGAATTGTCTAGATAAGTCCACCACCTGTTCTCGGATTCAATGTCTCCACAATTATGGTATATGCGTATCTTCCGGAAGACCTCCCCATCTGGTGGCCTCTGCTCGTTCGTATAGGCCTCAATATCTCTTAACAGTAGTTCTTTTGGCGAATTCCCTGAGTAGAGTCGTACCACCCACCATTGATCACTGCTTGGCAGATATCGCTTCGCGGCCTCTACCCGGTGCAAGCCAGACAGGCAAAACACTGAGTCTAGGGAAAGATATGGCAGATTGTCGCCCTCTTGGAGTTTCAACATTTGACTTGGTGTCATACCAATAGCCGCCAACGAGCCTACGAGCTCTGACTGGCCAACAATTGCGTTAATGTAGTTTTCTTGTTGCAAGCGTTGGCAGCTGCTCCGCGCGAAGACATTGCAAAGTCGTTGGATATTCTTCTCTGAGATTTCACGGTGCTTCTGTTGAACGAGCGGATGGTTAAATTTTAAGGACTGTAGAGGCACTCTCGCAAGTCCCTGATAGTTTTCTGCCCTAAGGGTAGACAGCTCAAGGTCGCCCAAGGTAGTCATAGTGAGGTGCTAATCTCTTGTACAACAGCGCATCGCTTTCTAGTATATTGATAGATATGTAGTCCTATGTTTAGATTGTGTTAACAGGTTTCTGATTACAGTAGAACATATTGATTCGGGTTTCAAGGAACAGAGGTAGGGAAACCGGATTTGGGAAAGCCTAAGATAAATAGACGCGTATAAGCCTGAACTTTAGCAAAACAAAACGAAATGCAGCTACATCCTTGGATTACTTTTGAGCCCTCCCCTGGTGGGAAGGCTATAACAAAACATGCGCAATCCGCCTTTCCATCTTCTCTTAACAGAGTGTTGCGGCCGGCGTTTGTAACTTGTGTTGGTCGGAGAGCAAAGGCTACAGTATTGCAGCGTATGCTTGGAGTAAGGGGACCAATACCAACACACAATCAAGTGTGTTTATGGAGTTCCTCTCGACTCCATACTGGAAGAGTCCCGATAGCGATTATTGACTGCGAGATCCAGGGGTCAGATCCTTCGGTGATGCCTCCAACTACCCCAGATCAAAGGACTAGTAGCTGGCAGCTTGCACCTACAGATCCAAGACATTTAGGTACCTTGCTCTGCAACCAGGTATTCGCACCGTTTTCTAGGGTACTCTGTTATTTTGCGACGGACATAGGAGGCCAAAGGGCGACAGCTAAGTGGTTGGCGGAACAAGCGACGGACAGCTTCAACCCCGCCTTAGATCTGCAACACCTCCCTCAGGTTCTTATTGTAGTGGACACGACTTCGGAAACCTTCGATGAGACACTTGCAAAAGACCGCTTTTGCAAAATGCTGTTAGAGACAATGCAGGAGCTTGGAGTATTCCAAGATGCTGCTGAGGTGCAGCATAACATCAACAACTATTTTGCTGATGTAAAGGTTCTTGGCCTAAAGTCTAGCATGCAATTGCCAAAACGCGCAAAGGCTGTAAAGCAACGCTTAGTAGCTATGTGCAAGTCCGATTCTCGACCATCATACCAGCGCTTCAGCCTGCGACATGTAGAGGCACTGTCAACACAGCTCCTTAAGGCCGCTTGCTTACAGTCTACAAGCACCTTCTCGTTTGCCACAGCTTCTAGGCCTTGTGGATTTTCGCTAGACTCTCTCGAGAGCTGCTTAGTAGACTTCTTAAGCCAACTACCGTCACAAGCATGGCTCTGGCATTTCCTCGCACCTCTGTTAGGGTCGGCACTTCTTCTTTCAAGTTACCCTCCAGACTCACACTGTAAGTAGTTCGGCAGCTTCTATAGCTAGCTAACAGTGTCTAGACTTTCCACCAGCGTTTCTTTTTGAAAAGCTGTTTTATGTTCCATGCAGAGCCGCTATTCAAACCTACACGCAGCATGCCGATGTGCAAGACAGATTTCTCAAAGCTGTAAAGGCTGAGCTGCAGTCACGCTTCTTAGCACTTACAAGATCGTCTCGTCTAGCCGCAGAGATCCACAATAGTACCTTGCAAGATTTGCATCCCCATTTTGCAGAGTTTAAAAGCCACCGATCATGTTTTTGCTGCTTTATGCGCATGCCCGAAAAGGTACTAGTGTGCGGTCACGCGTTGTGTGATATCTGCATAAAAATCTATGGTCGGCGATCGCAATCTGAAAAGAACACCTTTGAGTTACCGGCTTGCATATTATGCGGGGTTACTTATGGAAACTCTGCTTTCCGATTCGTTCCGCCTACAGCTGGGATCCGGGTCCTTAGTATTGATGGAGGCGGCATCAGAGGAGTAATACCCCTCGTCTTCCTCAAACACATTGAGACAATGCTTTCACAGCTTGGCTGTCCAATTCGTGATTATTTTGATTTCGTTTGTGGAACTTCTGCTGGTAAGCTTTACTTTACATACCTTGAAATACGACTAATTACTATAGGTGGACTTGTTGTTCTTGGAATGTTTCTTCTCCAATGGAGCACATGCGATTCTATCGATCGTTTCGAGGATATCGCTAGCAAAACATTTGGTGAAAGAAACAAAACCTCTACAATACTTGCTCGAGCATTTCAGTACCTTGTTGCCTACATTGAGGACGGTCAATATAGCCTCTCTGCTATTCAAGAAGCTTTTAGAGCAACGATTGATGCGGAGATTAAAATGTTCAACCCTCTAAGAAATGATACAAAGGTAGCGGTAACTACTACGAATGTAGGTGACTCTGCACCCCAGCTTTTTACAAATTACAATGGAAAACGACGACCGGGTAATATAGGTAAGTTACAAAGAAGTAAACTCCTTAGCGTAGACTTAGTATGTTTAGGGTACGATGTCCTTCGCGCGGAAACTGCGCAGGACGACGTAACAGTTACAGACGCGTTAGTAACTCTAGTATGTCTACCTTATACGAAATTAACTTATAGTTAGAGCATGCTGTACGTCAGCTGCACCCTGGTTCTTTAGACCTTATGCGGTACGGAGCTTGGGAACATTTCAAGACGGAGGACTGCAACACAACAACCCAGCAAGCATCGCACAATGGGAGATGAGGTTTATTTGGCCAAATAAGGATCCCCCGGATTTTACCTTATCCCTTGGAACAGGCACTACGATGTTAACTAATTCATGTAAAGACAAGGAGCGCTTTTACGTACGACTCTTTAGGAGCTTTATGCGGAGCCTTGACGGAGAAGATGCTTGGAAACGGTTTTTTAACTCATTGCCAACTAGTTTGCGGCATCGTTACCACCGTCTTAACATCTTTCTACCAGGACAGGAGCCCCGTTTAGACGATGTTGCTAAGATTGCTGAATTAAAAACACAGACAGCACAGGCTATTATTCAGGACATAGATACAGCGCCAGTTCTGGATTCTATGATCGCTAGCCTCTTTTACTTCGAGTTAGACGACTTCCCTAACTGGTCCAACGGTACTTATTCCTGTTCTGGACATATAATGTGCCGCATAGACCTTCCTGCTGACGGACGTCATTATCTTTACCGGAGGCTCTGTGAGACATCTTCCTGGTTTATAATTCAAGGATGTCCTGTTCAGTGTGTTGAGTATTTGCCTACTAGCCTTCCTCCGTTCCGACGCTTGGTAGAGTTTTCAGTAGAAACTCTAGACGAACTGCTCGCAATCTCACTTCGAGGCATAACAACTTCTGCAAGACAAATCAGCGGGTTCCCCGTTACAGTGCAGAACATAATCAATGCACAACAGTTAGAAAGGCCATTTGGATCTGCAACGCATGCAAGAACCGAAAAGGTATTGCCTGCAGTACCCGCGAAACGCGCTTATAACTCTGAGTTGTGCTATCCAAGCCATAGACGCCGCATAGATAGATAGAAATTACAATAATAGATGCGGCGCTTACTTATCTCTATACGTATTTGTAACCTAGATCATCTTCTATCCAATCTGTCTCAATTTCGCTAAATGTGAGGAGAAACAGAGAGCTTGCTATTGAAAGAGAGCGTGAATTTGTATTTTGCGTCTAGTTGGAGATACAACCAACAAACCACTCGCGCTGTAAGTAGGGATATGCAAATCATCCCCTCGAGGTGGTGTTGGCATATGCGTGCAGTTACAGTGGTTAGGTGCAGTTAATAGTGTAATGCCTATTTCTATATTTCCGTCTTCTATCCGTGTTGTACACAATCCCTGGTCCATTTGAAATTCCCAACGTGTGGCGCACCCACACGTTTAAACCTCCCATCAGTTCCCGCCCGCCGGTGTATCTCAGTTATCGTTGGCAGTAGATCCTTGAGCAGCAGCCGCGACCACGGGCATTGCAGGATCGCGCTTCTTCCTCGGTGTTTCCCTCTCGTCCTCCCATGGGTTCGCGCCAGACTCTTTGTCACACGTGCGAACTGCATCTCCACCCTTCCAGATGCAGTTGGCACATGCGTTGTTGTATTCGCCAGATATAGACTTGCAGTAGTTGAAGGGCTCGCAACCGTCGTTATAGCAGTTGTTGCAGCGAAAAACTACAACGAATGCCGCAGGAACGTGTTGTTATTCCTGTAACGTTATACCCCAAATAAAAGCAGATACCACAGGACTGTCGATACAGTTTCATCATCCGACTATTGTTCTCGAGACTCCTACATTCCTTTTACCCCAGTGCATCGGCCTAAGCCATCTGGACCCGGCTCCGTAGTAGGAAACCCGTTTAGTCGTCTCGAAATTCATCCTTGTTATCAAGCGCCTACGATGTTATTCTAGTCAATTTCGTCCTCTCATCCTCTCCTCTCTAAGCTTATCCATCCACGCCGCTACATTAGCAATAGCATGTCGGGGTGAATGCTTGTTTGCCAGCAAAAAGGACAAGATCTCAGCGGGACTGAATTCTAGCTTGGGTACCTTCGTCACAAACTCTTGCCCCAAATGAAGTAACTCGCAGTCCTCTACAAACCCTTCTTGCCCGGGTTGGTGGAGGATCCCCTCCGAGTCGGGAATGTTGGTCTTCGAGGGGTGGTTGTAGACGAAATGGAACAGCTGGTTGATCATGTCTTCATCGGCCAGGTAGAGCTCGGCCTTCATGTCTACACGGCCAGGACGTATGAGTGCCGGATCTAGGCGTTCGATGTAGTTGGTTGTCATAATCAACAATCTGCCATAGGATGATGCTAGGCCATCTAGCACATTGAGGAGGGTCGACAGAGACACCTTTTTATCGGTCGAGCCATTTGGGCCAACGCTCTGGCTTGGATCTGCACTACCGTCAGCTTTTCGATGCACAGCGGTCGCGTCGACATCCTCGAGGAGGACAATGCAGTGCTGCGGGAGCTCGGCGAAGAGAGCTTTAAGGAGGCGATCGTTCAGACTAGGCAGAGTGAGGACGTAAACGTCTAAATCGAAGTGCCCTGCAATGGAAAGGCAAAGGCTGGATTTTCCAGTTCCAGGTGGTCCATGAAGTAGGTACCCTCGTTGATAAGGAAGGCCGCGCTTGGAGTACCACGCCCTAGTTTTGGGGTCTAGGAACTCAGTTACGTCACCTAGCAACGTCTCTTTCAGCTCCCTGTTGATAATCACAGTTGACATATCTCTCTTAGCCATCGATCTGGAAGCTTTCCACATATCTTCTTGGTGCTCAAACACACAAGTTTTGTTCTCAACCGACTCTAAATAGTGCCGTCGGCACTCGTCTAAGAGCTCCCGGAGAGCGGCAGGATTGCGCCCAAAGCATAAGAGAGAGGCTTCCTCCCTAGTACCGCCGAACTCTCCTAGAGTTCTTTGTCGATTGAATACAAATAGACGGCCCTTGTGCCAGAAGTATGAGCGACCATTGCAGGGTGAATAGTGCAGCGACTTCTTCTTGGCATACGATCCAGGCTCCAGGGGTGATTTAAGATCTATCGTAACGAGGGAGTTGCGTGCCGATCGCGCAAAAGGCTGGGAGCAGACCCACAAAATGAGCATATCATAAGCTTCATCGGTATAGGGTACCTCAATCTTTGACACTATAGATGTGTTAAGAGTCAATATTGTCGCTAAAGATGGATGTACTGACAGAAGTAGGTTTCCAGCAACGTCCCCAAATATTCCGAAGCATACTTCCCGAACAACAGAAGCAAACCGCCGATGCAAAGCGCCCGACTATAGACGCTTGGACCGCCAGTAAGAAGGGACCATGCAGGGGAGGTTGCAGGGCCGAGACCGGGGAAGAACAGGTCCAAAAGGGGCAGCTGATCGAGTAGGAAAGACTGATTGTGGGTAGCGCTAGCGTTGCTAAGTGAAGCCATATTGGAGAGTGCTTTGAGCGAGTGAGGTGGCAGAAGGCGTAGGAGTGAATTGATACGCTTGAAGATACCTTTCTCGACGGGCGAAACAGCTGCTCTTATATCCTTGGAGAAAGTGGCTGTATGTTTGAGGGGTGCTTGGAAAGGTCTCAATCGAATTAAGTCGCGGGGTGTACGCCAGTCGTCTTGGACGTGCCCACATCGTGCATCTGGATTGCCGGTTAACATTGTTCGTGAGTCCATCCTTAGCATAGTCACACCTATACGGGCTCATACCAGCAGTTCACACCAGCAGTTCACACCAGCAGTTCATACCGGCGGTTCATACCAGCGGTTCATACCAGCGGTCATACCAGGAGTCTTACCTGTAATTCGCATCTATGGTGGATTCGTGCCTGCAATCCGTATCCAGTATTTCACGCCCGCGCAAGAGACTCACTGTGGGAAATTCCGTTGGTTGAGTTGGATGAGGCTTTGGGATTAACAGAAACCGAAAACTACTGATGACTTCTGAATTCTCGCTTACTGTGGTTGCAGGGGTAAGTTGTCCTTCGCCACCCGAGGAGGTCTGTGCAGATGGAAGATTCTCTGAGTCCCCGCGGTTGATTTTATAAGCAGAAATATATGGAAACAAAACCACCCCAGCTGAAGATTCCAAAACTAGGCATCTGTCACTGTTCTCCATAGAAATGAGGCCTAAAACCCTTCCTAAATAGGAAGTCCGTGATGATTGAATTGGTGTAGTATTTCAGTATTTCGTGTGGCCGCCCTGAGCGTCAATTACTGCCTGCATCCTGGCCGGCATGGACTGAATGAGATCCTGGAGGCGTATATCGCGAGAGAGATGGGCTGTATGAGGATGGGGACTGGTTCGGCGGCGTTGAGGAGGTGGAGGAGGTAGAAGAGGTGGATGAGATGGAGGAGATGGAGTTCGTGGAGAATCTTCAGCCGGCGCGGAAAAACTTGGTTCCTGGCTTATGTAATCTGAAAGTAGAAGCGGAGGTGCAACACCATGAGGAGGAGGAGCCATAGTGGAGAGAAATCAGAGAGCAGTGGCAAGATTTCAGATGGTTTAAAAACAGCAGGAAAATACCAAGGAAAATCTGGTGGTTCCATGGCGCCATGCGGGTGCTCCGTGCCTTGGGTGGCGAAGTGACAAAACTTACCCTTGCAACCACAGTACAAATTTCTTGAAAGTCTTGGCAGAACCACGGCCGTATGGCGGGGTTGCAGCCTTGGCTCTGGCCCCGCCGCGATTTCGCAAACCCCACCACATGAACAACGGCACATCAGGATATGGCTCTAGCAGACTCGGAGGCATCGCTTTTGGAGGAAGGGGTCATCTTCCTAGAAGACCCAGGAGTCGGAACTAGAGTCTACGAATTCAACCAGAAGCGGTTCCCTTTTCAGACAGAAGAGGGTCTCGATTTTTGTCGAATGAGTACCCTTGAGGACAAGGCAAGTAACGCGAAATGATTTTATAGATATGTCCTCTAATTATTATAGCGTATTCGAGACATAGTAGAATCGGTTTTTGAGCGCTCAAAGTTGGGCTTACTGAAAGTCTTTGGCGCAAGACAGGATATCGTCTTCACTTTCTTAAGCAACCCTTCGAACGAGTCGAGTGAAGCAATCGACGAGATGAACAAGGGAAAAGATAAAGTGAAGGCCCTTATTGTCCAACTACTTCCCAGAAACTCCACTATGGTTTTCTATAAGCGCTCGCATTTGCATTTTTTAAGGCCTGAGCTTGCGAAGATCGGGTTGTTACAGGTCCCGCTAGAGAGCCTAGAAAGAGAGGACATAAAGCCGTGTGAGGTCACAATGAAAGATGGTGGGTTGTAAGTCAGCTCCTTGCGGCTTCAATATACGTCTCCTAATATCTTCTAGCGCCATTATTGATGGCAGAACTGCGTTCAAAATCGTTCATGGATATACTATTGTGATTGGATTTGCGGTAGAGGAAGAGCTCAAGTTTTGGGGAAAGATGGGCTTCCCGAAAAAGACAGGGGTAATGGAGAAGATCAAGGGTATGGAGAGCGAAAAGATTGGCATGAACGTTGAATTCGTCGAAAAGAGATCTATGGAAGGTAGTATTGCGAGCAGTACGCAACCTCACTAGCGAATCAGCATGATCCTATCAAATCCGTATCACAATCTTTCATAGGAGTCCGATTCAAACACCCCTCATTGACGGCAACAACCTCCGCGAAAGGGACCGTGCTATTGAACAGAAAAGGAATTTGTTCACTCGCGTTCGTCGCATACTGATCTCCAGTCTCACCGTCATCGTTCCAGTCTACTGGGTAATCAGCTAATAGAGTTGCTCGAGGATACCATCGCTGAACGTTTGGCGCAAAGTTGTTCGGCAACTGGCTGTTTCTGAAGGGAGATGGGTCTTTATATCCATTCCATGGATTGATCTCACCGAATGGGTACGGCGACTCTTCTTAGATTTAGTATTAACAATCAAAACGTGCCGATATTCATACCCGCTGTAACAGTCCCAAGCTTTGCGCCTGAATCAGGTGGTGGGTCAACCCGTCGTCTTTGGGATGGTGGTTCTGTCTCGCCAGCCTTCCGCTTTCCACCACTGTCTCCCTTATCAACATCGATTTTACTCGATTTCGCGCTTTCTCCAGACATTCTTCTCAGCTCGTCTCTGCTACGCTTAGATAGCTCTGACTTTCTCTTCAATGCGATGGTCAAATTACTATTGTTTTCTTTCTTTTCACATGATCCAAAATGGACCAAATATTTGTGGATTGTTGTCTGTAAGCGACCACAGAATAAGCAAGCCTCGCTGCACTTAACATCTGTCAACTCAGTCATCGTTAGTAAAGAGCATATTACATTTTAGTAGGATGTGAGAGAAACTTACGCGTGTTAAAATGGCGGATCAGACTGCTCTCGTGCGTGTAAGTTTTTATCTTCTGTGCGCAATTTGGATGGGGACAGCTCCGTGTCGTTGATCCAGAGCCGTCCCCACTGCCATGTAAGGAATCTTCCTTAGCGCGGTCCTCCACATCGTCATTATCCTTGGTGTCACTTCGAATGCTATCGCCACTGTCCACGAAGGCGGAGTCTGGATTAGATGATGATTGCTGGATATCGTCGGTTATGGGCTGGATGCTGTTGATTATGGGCTGGATGCTGTTGATTACCGGCTGGATGCTGTTGATTACCGGCTGGATGCTGTTGATTATGGACTGTAACGATTCGACGACGCCCACTAGCTTGCATAATGCCTCGCCATTAATGCGCAAGCTGTGGCAATTCTGGCAGTTCAATTGCTGGTTCGGATTCCACGACATTGTTGACATGTAGACAGATAGGTCTTGACTTTGGTGTAGATGTGGAGCTAGCGGGTTGGGCGGTTAAACAGTCAGGTGCCCCGCCAGCTCATCCGGTCACCCGACGCCGCCACGTTCGAGAACTATAAAGGCTCCTAATCACGCCCGACACCAATTCTTAAACACAGCAACCCACCATTACCATACTGTCTCTACGAACGTTCGAGCACCGAGAATTGTTCAGGCTACCCGTGATTAATCTCCTGTCCCATCCAAAAAGTGATTATTCTCAGATGGCCTCTCATAAAGCCAATAATGCTGATTAACCCGCAGCTCCCCGTTTAGGCGCAGATGCCGGGTACCTGTCCTATCTGCAGCGGCACCGGAAAGCGAGGCGAGTACGATTGTGGTGCCTGTCATGGCAGTGGCAAGGACACTTCTTCCAACCCGAAGCAACAACCAACCCTTGATGCGCATATTTGGTTATTGCAGGGCTTGAACTAGTATAAGATGGTTGGCTAGAAATTTACGCTTTTTTTTCGTTTTAGCTATATTCGTTGTTGATGATCCATGACGCACATCTGTTGCCAACGGACGCGGGGTTGTTCGAACGCACACCTGTTTGCACACCTGTTTGCACACCTGTTTGCACACCTGTTTGCACACCTGTTTGCACACCTGTTTGCACACCTGTTTGCACATGTTTGCACACCTGTACGCACCCCTGTACGCAGCGTCCTGGAACGCTCCATTCGGCCGAGCCTTAATTGGCATTCGGGGTCTGCAAGCACGCGTTGGCACGAAGTGTGAGTCAACGGGTGGAGCCCCGCTAAAAGTGTTCAGTTCTTGACTCCACGCGAGGCGCGATTGGCTGCACCTAATCGTAGCTTCCATGGGTCCTGTTCTGGTTCCCGCTGTGGGGTCTTTCTCGTTACCTGCCTCGAGACCTAACTTCAGCTCGGATCTGCCCCTCCATGGAAACCGCTTTGGAGCTCCCTGCAAGTCATGATTTTCTCCTTCTACCAACAAGAAATTGACTACATATCTGCTAGTAATATAAATCCTTGTCTTCCACGCCGGTCTATCAGCTTCTGGAAGGAAGCTGTGAAAGGAAGCTGATGGATATATTCCGCGTGGGCCGCGAAGCGGGGTACCCCGGCTATTCCTGCAAACTATTCTAGGCCGATAGTATGTATGACCTAGCCACGATGATTCCGCTCCTGCTTCTGACCCATGCAATCCCTATATCCCTGACTGGTACTCTATTATTAGCGGCGCTGCACGGCATTTCGGGTAATTTTTAATTGGAGCTGCTACCTCACATGCACCGTCGCTCACGTGTGATACAGTTGCTGCCTAGTCTTTGCCTATTATCTTCGGAAGTTATGGACGAACGCGGAAGCATATAATATGGTTAAACAGTGCTCTCCAGGCCTTCAGCACCCTATGATTATATCCTGTCATCTCTCTATTGTATCGGCCGATTTTAGAACTTCCCGGTACTAGGTACTGCGATATTATGCAATAAAGTTGGTTATAATACTAATTTTTTTGTGCAGCTTAAAATGTGCGAAAGACACGAGGTCCAGGTGACTTATCAGAACTGCACAGCGGAACCAAAGCATAAAGTCACCAAATGGGTTCCCGTGCCTTGTCCGACCAATTGCGGCAACTGGGTTGATAAAACGAATATGGGATCTTCAACCAACAAAACTCCTGGGACAATTTGTCCTAAGTGCTGAGCGATGTCCAAAGTATGATAACGTTAATAATCTTTTAACCAACGTAATTAAGGAGGGTAACAGCAAAGCTACAGGTCTTACCGATTCTCTCACCTCCCACCTTTTTGACCGGATGATCCTAAATGTTATTTGCTTGGACAAGGGTTTTGTTAGACATTGAGTGATGCATCTTCATGCGAAATATTGGAGTGGCTACGAGTCACGTGACCTGTGCTTTCCATAGATTGCTTTGCGGGCAACACGATAGCATCATCCATCCACTCGTTCGCTCTCGCCTTTGCCTTGTGCTTGCCTTCTGAGAAACTATCGCATTTTGTCGCTTTGCTTGCTGCATTCCAAGCAAGTCTTCATGCATCTATTGAGATCACGTAGCGCGCCGCTTATATAATCCCCTAGGCCTAATATGCAATAGTGTGCAAGGCGGTGAGTCACACTGGCAAAACGGCTTGCATTACTTCAGCCGTTGCCTGCGTCGCTTACATTGAACGCTCCATCCTAACAAAACCAAAGGATTTGCATTCTCACGATTTCCTATTAGACAATGGATGGGGATATCTATGTGGTACCCTATTTTCCTGACGGAGTGCAGCATATCATCACCACTGGCAGTAACCACTATATCGGCTTTGTCGACGGGTCAACAGTCTTAAAGTACCCACATTTCAAAGGAACTTTGGACGCTCTCCGCGTCGAATCGAAAATACTTCAACGGCTTGGCAAGCACCCTCGCATCATCGAATTCAAAGGAGAACACGAAGACGGGTTGCTTTTGGAATATGCGTCAAACGGATCGTTGGAAAAGCATCTAAAAGAAACACAAATCCCGATTAAAGAGAAGATCCGGCTCGCAAAAGAGGTTGCAGAAGGCGTTGCATATGCTCATCAGAGCAACGTTCTAATCTGTGACATCCATGTCCGCAATATCCTTCTGGATGATAAATTTCACATCAAGTTGTGCGACTTCCAGGGCAGGTTGCTAGGGCCTGACGGAGAGGTCCTTCTTTCTGGTGGAGCTTCAGAGAACGCAGAGTCGTTCATGCCTCGTTGTGACAAAGAGTTCGCGGACATCAAGACTGACATTTTCGCCCTTGGATCTACCATATATCATATTATAACCGGGCATCGGCCATTCCCACAGTACGACACCATCGACGATGAAGCCAAGTTTGTGGAACTTTACGGAAAAGGGCACTTCCCTCCCCTGGATCCAGGGGTGGGCGGCGAAGTTGTTCAGAATTGCTGGAGAGGCAGATACAAGTCTGCGAGCGAAGTAGTCAATGATCTTAACCTCCTGCTAGAATAATTAGCAGAAATGCTGGTCGATTCTGTAGCAAAACGTCCTATTTATTCCTTTTTCCCGCCATTTTTTTAGGCTGCCAGCCCGGTCGTCCCTTCCCTCACTGAACCATGCCATCTTTGCCACGGCGGCGTCGATCCGCCCTCCCCTCTGCATTTCCAACCATTTGTCGTGAATATGGCCAGCGGAAGCCGGCGGCACCGAGAGCGGCGGTTTCTCATCGGACTCGGCTGTGCTTCGCCCCACTTAACGTTGCCGCCGCCGACTCTTGCTCCGCCCTGCAATAGGGCGCTTGACGATCGCAGGATCAGTGGGAGATCCCGCTGCCCGACGAGAGAGGCAGCTGATGCCGGTGCGGATGCCGTACACGGAGAGCCCGTTCCGGTTACCGTCAGGATAATCAAAGGTCATTCACGTCTTACAGTCATTACTCTCCGAGACGAACAGACTTCGAAAACGTTACTTTTCTTTCTACTTTGTCAGCCATTGCACCTGTCAGTCACAGCCTCAGTCAATTCGCCATGGCCGCGCCAGGAGCCGAACGCAACATCGACAGGATATATAGATTATGACAGGTCCATTGAAGGCAGCGGCGGCCATCCAATCGCGATACAGCAATACGAGAATCATACAGAAATACTAAATGAACACGCTATCAACGTGCTCCGCCCCATTGAACTCGCGCATAAAGTTCTCACTCAGTCACAGCTTTAAGAGGAATGGAGAATGAATTTAGCTTGAGCAACTCAAATAGCGTTCGTTTACGTGCCCACTTGGCCATAGGCCCGCCAGTGCCAACCGCAGACCTGGCTTATTCTCACCTAGCATCAAAGGCCTACTGCAGTCAAGCATACCGAATTTTACGTGTCGCTGACGTCTAATATGTGCACGGTATATTGTAGGTTTTGGAACAGAACCTAAGAAAACTAGACACTACTTCGAGTTGGATACCGACAAGCAAGAACCCATAGAGGAAGCCATACGTGCATCGATTAGGTCAATCCAACGAGTTCAATGTGACGCGAAAGATTTGGAGGCTTTGCGGATAACTTTGACGGCACCTGGCATACAATGGGTGCGATTGCCGGGCTTTGAAGAGCTTGCTGCGCCGCCGTTGCGCAAAAAGAGCTAGAAGTACAGTGTTTTCGCACTATCTAGTAATACATATAAGACCGAGCAGTGCCTTTAGAGCTCCCTTAGTATATAGAGAAAGTTCTGGTTTATTCTTTCAGCTTCATCCAGTTCATTATGTCTACCAATATTGATATTGTAGAAGATGACATCTTCCTACCAAGATGGTGTGCGTCTTCCCCGGGTCTACAGGAGGTCAACCCGACGCTTGACATGCCCACAACGCAAGAACAAGTTGCACGCTTAGAGATTTCAATCAAAGAGCTGAAGAAGTAAGCACTTGTATGCACCTTTCGCTATTTCTAAACACTTACATATGCATAGAGAGATTAGAGATCTTAGAAGAGAGATTCGGAGCATCAAAGCAAGGGTGCAGGAAAACGAAAATGGGAAAGACAGATTTTATATCTGGGGGGAATCGTTAATGAATATGCTGTGACGTCCAGTAGACGATGTAACACGCCTTCGTGGGCAGATAGATAGTAGTCCTGTCTAGGAAACCAGAACTCGGAAACAGTTTTTGAGAGGTAGACCACCGCGTCCAAATGCCGATAGTGGAATTAGAACCCTCTAAATGGCTTCCCTTGTATTTATAAGCCTAGCACATATCCCTTAATCTCCTCTAACCAACGACAATGTACTTCCTCAAAACTTTAGCTTCCACCCTTCCTGCTACGGGTCTAGCAGTGAATCAGCTGCAGAGCTGGAATGCGACATCGCATAGAACGTTGAATACAAGTCACAAATAGTTGACATAGTAGTAGGTGCTGCAGGCCAGCTTGCCTTCAACCCAGATTCCCTTAGTGTCTCGAAGGGTACTGTTCTTCGATTCAACTTTTTAGGACTGAATCACACCTTAACTCAGAGTTCGTTGGCGCATCCATGCCTCAATAGCACAAAGTTCGATAGTAGGTTTCGGCAGTTTAATCCTCTCAATATTAGTGGAAACTTCATGGTCGAATACGAGATGAAAACGGAAGACCCACAGTGGTTCTACTGTGCTCAAGAGGCACCAAAGTCTCATTGCTGCTCTGGAATGGTTTTCAGTCTCAATCCTGGAGATAAGATGCTCGAGTTCAAAAATAATGCGAGAAATTCTACCTTAGCTGCCATGATAACACCAGCACCAGGGAGACATCTCTGCTCACAGTCTTTTCCGAGCGCTCCATCCACCGGACTCGGCACGGCTACACAGGCGACCGCTAGCAAGGTGGCAAACACGGCTCTAATCACGCCTGATATTTTCAATGCTGCAGGCTGGGGCCGATCTAGCTTCCTTTCTCTGCTAGGAGGATTGGCTATTGCAATACAACTGTAAAGAGCGCAAGCTGCCGATACCAAAGTATGTAGTTAAATTGAACCGTGTGCGATGCCCTGTCCTAATACGTCCCAATCGCCTGAAGTTTTTTTGTTCTCGAAACGTTCACATCTCCATTTTGATTTCTATGCGCCTTAGGTTGATTTCAAGGATTGATAGCAGAAAAAGTATGCCATGCCTGGTTATAGACCATCCAGCAATTGAACTAGAGATAGGTTAGAAGACTAACAAGTAGACAACAGTACTCTCTTACTGTAGAAAGATAGTAACCAAGCCGAAAGATGCGTTTAGTCCGAGAATTGGTTGTGGACGGAAGCTCTAGATAATAGTCTTCCTCGTCACGCTCTCTCGAAAACCAGCTATCAGGAAAGTATGATTGGCTCCAGATTTGCCCACGAATCTGGTAGTCCTCTGGCAATGGCTGGTTGTCCTCTTTGTCTGCCCCGAAAACGGGTCCAGGAACGAACTGGTCTGGTCGTTCTAACAACAACGCATTCAGGAAGCTGGCAATCTCTGACCAAGGAGCGCCATTATTGAGTTGGTTAACGTATTCAACAGGCGCAATATTGGCAAAGAATCCAAGTAGAATGTAGACATGGGGGAGAACGTTCTTGTCGCCTTTGCGTTGAAGGACGAGAGACAGCGTCGTCATTGTCAGGTCATACGCTCGAGAGACTGCGAAATTGCCTAATAGGGTCTCCAGCTTGGCTGGAACTTCCGCCCTCGTGATAGAGGGACTTGAAGGACTGGGAGCTGGAGTTGAAGATCTAATTGAATCACTGGATCCTGTTCGCGAACCTTTTTCGTGGAGCTGGAGTGCTAAACGGAGGATTGAGTCGTCGGCACCGTAATTGAACAACCCGGAGATATTGGTAACGGCAATGTACACACCCTCTTCCTTCCATGTGGTAGTGACGCGGCCAATGTAGCTATCGAGCTGGTTCTGAAATGCGAACTTGGCATCCTCGAAAGTCTGCGGCGAAAGTTTCTTCAAAAGAACGCCATGGGCTTGGATGTAGCTGCGATGAATGGGTGGTACATGCGAGAATGAGTTCGAAGGAAGCCCCTCGATTGGGTCGTCCAGTAGCTTCAGGATGCTGTCACGAGCTAACTTAAAGCGCTCAACGCAAGTCAGTGATCTGGCGAAGTAATATAGCTCTTGGAGGGCGTTAGGGCGAGCGATTACACCAAGATGGTGATATAAATGCCCAATTGATGGGTTCATGTTGGCAGCCTTGCAGTACCAGTAGCGGGCAACGCGTAGCCAAGGTTCACGGTCCTGCGTGAATGTCATGGGATACTGGGCTAGATCCCCAAGGTACTCCATCCAGCTGTCTTGAAACGCTGGAACCGCTTCGTAGAGCCACGTTAGTATCTGGAGAGCTCTGTAAACGAAAGAAATCATGTATTCGTTGCTTTCAGGGTGGCAACGGCGTAATAGCTTCAGAAAGGAACCGACCCCATGTCTCCACAAGCGGGCCGGCATGTCGTATCGAATAGCTAGTCCATGAAACGTAGGAGGCAGCGATGGATATTGTAGAGCCTTCAGAAGAATGCCATTAGTAGATTCATTTGTTCAAAGGGTTGTCCTTAGAGTGGCATACCAGGAAGAAGTCGCAATGCTCGTGTAATAATGTAATATGCAGAGCAGTAAGCCACTGCCAACTAAAGGGGGGTTGAATTCCAGACGGTTTTGTAGTTTGTCCTTCAACGGTGATACATTGATTCTCCACCATAGTTAATCTAGCGTAGATATTCTGAACCTCCAACATCATGTGTTTTTGAGAAACCAGGCGCGAATCGGGCCGGAATAGAAGATCTGGATACCTCGGATCAACTATGCGAGAGCCGTTAGCCCCGGGTTGGAGTTGTGGCTGGGTAGGTATAAGTGGCCGATTCTGGGCTTTGACTTGCGCCGCTTGGGGACCAGGAGCTTCGGGTGGTAGTTGGGCTGAGTGAGGCTGTGTTTTCGATGCCTCTGCGCTCCGTTCACCAAACTCAGGCGTCGAAATGGCCGAAGCCTCCAATACCTCTACTGGATATTTCCTGCATGTATATGTTAATAAAAGCTAACAGTAACTACGTGACAGCGCAGGAATTGGGAACTTACGTGCTCAGCGCCTTGTCCTTCAGCTCCGCGCGGGCTCGATCCTCATCTTCCAATTGTCTAACGGTAGACTCCTGTTGCACGATGGCATGGTCAGACAATTGATGTATGTGCTGGAACCTACGTCCTTGGCTACAGAGTGGGCACGGTAGAATCTGCGGTCTTGACGAGTGTCCTTGGCTACAGAGTAGACACGGTAGAATCTGTAGTCTTGACGAGTTTGGCTGATCCCGCAACGCAATGTAGCGGGCAGATATGTTTATGTTGGCCATGCCTCACTTGTACTTTGACAAGCGGTCACCGCGTTGGACTGGAGTGATGAAAGGAAGCGCAGTCGCCCAACGGGTTGTAGTCCTAGCCCTCTTAAAGAGACGTGCGGCACTTCCGCTTGCGGACCGCATACTAGGCAACAGGTAGCGGCCAGTGCACAGCCCTCCCGTTATGAGATCGCCTATACCCTTGCTGCTATTCTGCGCATTAGCCAGGGCACTTTTTGGATGATGTGGAAGCGCCGCTATCCTGTACGAAACCTCACACACACTAGGTCCGCGGAGAAGATCACTGCTTCAGACATTGAAAACATGAGGACGATCAGCACATAAGATAGGGAAGCCCGAGAGCTACCGCAGGGAAATATCCCTCGCCGCACAAATAGAGGTATGATAGGATGAGATTGTTTACATAAACAATAGGTCACGTATCTTATCAGCTTCATCCGCCCCTAACTGCATATACAGGGCTAGCTCCTTGGAGGGTGGTGAGGAAACTAAATGCAAAAGAAGAACAATTTTGGGCCGTCAAGCATTATCACCAGGCAGGCACACATGTATCAAGGCCGTTACTGTCAGCCTGCTTGACGGGACCCTGATTGTTGCTCGGGAGAGGATCGTGCACAGCCTTGAGCCTGGCGGGACTGCAGCTCATTTCTGGACGGACGGCATAGCCTTGCTGTGCGCCGTGCACATAGATGTGGGCCCTGAAACGCTATAGATCAGCTCGCAGCACTGCCGCAACGCTTGCCAGTGACTTTCAGAGCGCCTCACGCAAATGGTTTCCGCCTTAAAGCTTATTAGCAAAGAGCAATGTATGCCTCCTTCTCCTTCCAGGCGATGGGCAACCGTTTGACTCAGACATACCTCGTTCCACAATATTCTCCAATCTCGCCAAGCTTCCCATTCATTGTCCCTCCAACATTCTTTTGGTTCCACAGCTGCCGGCAACTACCTATCCGCCCAAAACAATGACCTGTCAACTCTCGCGTGTGCGGCGTCGTAATGCCAACGTTTGGGGATTCCTCCGCCCTTGTTTCGCGGATATACTGATCCCAACCCGACATTAGTTTGGTTGGCAACTGAGGTTTTCGGGCCGAAAATCCACATGCTCATTCCCGGTTCAGTTATTTGCTTTGTCCATGAGGCTTCGCTTTCCTTGTTATTAGCTTAGCATAATACCCCCCTTTCTCCATGCAAATGTGAGTCTTGATATCTCCTAAGGCATCGATGATGGAACAAACTACACCGGAGCAGCTTTCACTGTACAACGGGTTCAAGCTTTTAAACCTAGTTCGAGAAGTCGGGGATTACAAGCTGCAGGTCCAAATTTGCATTCCCGACGACGTCTACACGGGCGATTATGATGGCGAAGGTCCTGTGCATGTTCGTTTTGGTAATGGGGGTCTTGTAAGTCTCACCCGTCTTTGAGTTCAAGACTCTAACGGGGCAAGGCGACTGACGATTCTGGCGAGCCCCTAGCTCCTCAATGGCGGCATATCCACATCCGAGACCTCGCCCAGGCGACCCACTCCATAACTATCCGGCCGAATATCCCCTTACCAATTTACTGCTCCGGTCAGGAAATGCTGCGGACACTCGACAATTTCATGGAAATGGTACCAAAGCCCACGTTTTCGCGCAGCACTCATGGAGGAATGCCCCAAAATAAGGGCCACAATTGCCTACAACAAGACTTTATGCTCGGGAGTTAGTTTCGGAGGTTTTCTGGCATTCTACTCATACCTCAGCCTGGTTGATGTTGAGTTTACGGCGCTATACCTACAGTCGCCTTTACTGACCGAATACACGCTCCCTGGCAAACTACCCTTTCGTGGAACAGTATACACCAAAGACAAATGTACCTACAAGGCAATAGAATTTATGGCTACAAGATTACGGCTTCATCCTCGCAAAATCAGCCTCAACTCCACCGAACTTTCAACCTTAAGTACATACCGGAAGCTCACTATCTCGCCTCTACAACGGTTCGAGTCACAGTACACGGTGAAACACGGCAAATGTCTTGCTGGGCATTTATGCTCGACATTCCTGACATGTTAGAATGGATTACCCAGTTGGTGCGTAAGACCAGCTACATTCTTCCACCACCACGTGAATCGGCATTATCCTATGCTATTGATCCAAAGAGACTCCTCCGTGCTATTGGAAGCAAACTAGGCAGCAACGACGACTCAACATTGTCTCAGAATAGGAGAGAGGGCGCTGTTCCACTATATGGGTACTAGGTTTGACACAGAGCTGAATGCCATCCAGATTCGGCGGAGTCAGCCACTCGTCCAGCCTTCCTCTTTCCCTCCAATTCTCGCAATATACGGTGAAGGAGATGAACATTGTCACCCGTATCGCCAAAATGAGACGTTTCAGGTCCACAAATGGCTCCACGACCAGGTTAACCCAAAGGAAGTCTGGGAAGTCAAACGCATTTGCAGGCTCGGAATGGGACACATGTTTCAGTGCACAGTAAGAGCCCCTTGGCAAGATGAGGTGATGGACTGGTTGAAAACGAGGTGGCTTAGAGGGGCCCCCAAGGGACAGGGCGGCAATATTGATGGCGTCCAGGTTCCCCGTGCGTTGCACGAGGACCAGGACGACCCCGCCTGTGGCCTTCCCTGCTTGAACTGACGGAACTGTATATAAGATGTGGCATGATTGTTCTTCAGATCTTTAGAAAGCTACAATGGAATCTGAAAAGAAGTGGCTTCAACCAGAGAAATGCTAGAATCACCGTTACCACACAGGTAGAAGTCACAGTGGCGGAAGGGACGAAAACAGCTGGGACGAAAATAGATGGGCGGGGGGATGGCGATATGAGGAACTGGCAAGGACCTAGTGTGCCAGGGCAACAATAAACTTGTGCAACACCACTAGGTTGCGAGTACGCAATCGAGCCCGGCCTGCGGGCGGTGGAAGGACCGCCTGCACGAGCAGTCACACATAGTGCATTCAGCTGAGATGATGCATTGACTACCATGGAGGCTTGAGGCAAACTCAATACTGCTCATAACCAGAAAAGAATTGATCGTCAACCCGTATATGATAATGTCGCCACTACCCAGGGCACAGAGTGAGGTAATACTGCGAGGAAGCTCAGCGCCCAATGCCTCATGTTTGAGACCCGTGGTTATTTGCTTTGCCAATGCTAGTGGTCTCGAACAGGATCAAAAGGGCGACGCCGGGACGCCTGCCCCGGCCTGCCTGCAGTATAATCTTCCATCATCTGTGTGCCGCTAGGCGGAGCCTCTGTCCTAGCTGGTTTGGTTAGAACGTGTATTATAGTATTAATCCTAAAGTAGTGTATTTCGTACCAGCCGATCTCGCTGCCTCTCTTGCTGCCGCTATTGCTTCCTCTCTTGCTGCCTCTCTCGCTACCTCTTTTGCGTCTTGAATTGCCTTCTTCATTCGCCATAGAAATAACGATTGGGAAACCTCAGGGATGCCCTCGTTGGCTAGGAACTGATTGATACGATCTAACATGGCTTTCTTCTCATGCGCAGCGACGCTGGGCCACGAACGGGTTGGATCAGCCTGTACATGCTTCCTTGCTTCCTCGCGTGTAATAATCTTATGCCGTGTTAAGATACATGTAGTTGTAAATATTCCGCTAATCTTACGTAGAATCTTTGCCACTGTATCAGATCATGGCCGGCAGCCGTGCGCGCCTCATCCGTTCTTGCAGTCCTTGGAACCTCCATGTTGCGGCAGCGTTTATGGTAGGCAGTGGGAATTGTCGGATCGGGAGGGCTGGTGCAGGTAGGTTGGGACGGAAAGTGACCACGGGGGCGGTTGGGGAGGCGGAGGACGGTGGGTCTGTCCGTGCGCTAGCCGTGCGTTGGCAATGGCACCACGGTGGCGCAATCATCATCTCCGTGGGCCCCGGCTTGGCATTAGCTGATTCCAACCTTGGAACAGGTCCACGCTGTCTACTCCCGATGTCCCGAGGTCAGCATTTGAAGGTGTCAGCTGCCCTGCCAACCATTAGAAATCACAGTCCTTGTTTCCATCACTCCCGCGTTTTTGCACTATGCTTTCTTTGCTTGTTTTTGTACCCGCAGTGCTTTTTACTGTTTTCACGGTAGTTGCCTTCGCCTGGCGAAGTTCAATCGCAAATGGCCAGCCCGCACCTCCGTCTTATGCCGTTCGCCGCCGTCCCTTCAACGAAGGGAACTGGCACTTGCATGACTTGCTGCATATGCGGCACAGGCCTCCTCTTTCCATGGAGCGATGTGAAATGTGCGCTGAAGGCGATTGCCTTTATTCCCGTCCCCATCCAATGATAGCACACCCAGACAAGAGGTGTTATTGCTGCAAATACGTGTTGAATCATTACGTGTAAACATACGCAGTCGGACAATTACGCACACATCGCAATAAAGGACAGCAAAACAACTGACATTACGGCAGGAACACCTCCTTGAAGTCTCGTTGGATCGCAAAGTGGACGTGGCAGACGGACATATAAAGGTGGAGGAGGAAGATAACAGTGTTTAGCTTGCACGGAGTTCAAGCTACCAAGCAGCATCCGGTGGGGAAATTTTTGCCTGTTGCGTCAATTTTCTAACTGAAGGGCAGATACAACTGAAATTTGCGTGAGATGCCATGGAAGACTTGTGCCCCCCGAGTCTCTTTTCGCCGCTAGATCCGATCCCTTGTCCAGTATGCTTCTTTGACCACAAACACAACGGAAAGAGGTGTATGCAAATCGGGCGCGAGCTTTGTAACATTGAATAATTATGGATACATAATTGTTGTCAACCCATTCTAACCTGTCCCAACTATCTCGACATCCATCACGCAGATAGCCCCCTAGAACATGGACGAGTTCGTGTCTGATCTTTGATATCTAGGGCATAATTGCTAGCCTACATAGATTGCAGAGAAGCACATTGGAAATCATAGGGAGATAATAAGATAACACTCAGTATTCGAGCTTTGCGAGGTCCTCTCGCAAGATAGCGCAGTAGTCATCATGGTGAACTAGTTCGCCCATCCAGTGCTCTACCTTCTCCCTCTCCCCCCCCAAAGAGCATTGGCCACTGCGCACTAAGTTTATCCCATTCGCCCTGAATCTGCCCAACTCGGTCGTCGCTAAGGTAGGGCCCGCGAAGCCGCAGGTCTTCCGCCTCGTCTATCAATCTTGATAGGGTGCGAAAGCATGCCAGCGTCTCCTCCCCCAGGGAACGGTCCTTGTCAATCTTCAGTCTCAACATTCTCCAACCCAATACGAATTCTTCCAAGGTGCCTTCACGGAGTATGTGTGCTTTTTTGAGGATAGATCGTGAGGATGATTCGGTCTGCTGTTCATGGTTAGTTCTGATCAAACATTCTTATGCAACAGGATTACCTGAGATACCGTAACTTTGCCAACTGGAGCAGGCCAGCTGTCGTTGACGACGCTCAAACCGTACAAACACAGGCCGTGCGCTGCTGTGCAGGATGAACGCAAGGACCTTGTTGACAACACAGTGCCGTCATCGCGGTGGCAGCCGACTGGAGCCCGTCTCAGTACCGAAGATTGCACACCTCTCAAAAGCGTGGGGGCCGGCATGGGAGGGAAAGATTTGCAGCGCCAGTCTCGAAAGTGTCCCGGTCTCCATCTCTTGCCTCTTCCGTGCATCTTTCGTCTTCCTGCAGCACGCCACCATGCATTGGTCTAGGTTCCCCTCTCTGAACCGAATTGACGCGGTTGAGGCAAGAGAGTTGCGTCCAATGAATCTAGTATCATGGGCTTGATATGCGACGTTGCGACAGTGCGACTGACAAATCTGTTCCCCAGTCATACAGCCGCACTAATTGCGCTGTTGCTTTGAGACTACCTTCCCCTCCTAAAAACACCGTCACTTGTCTTGGGAGAGTATTGCGACTACCTCTCCTTAAACGAGCGGTTTTGCAACTTGTTCGACGAGCGGACAGCAAAAGCCTAAGGAAGTTTCACCTAGGCTGGTTAACTCTCCCGTACAGCGCAGGCCAGCCATCTCGTCGACCGATCCAGCAACATGAAAATTTCGATCAGACCCATCCAGGAATTCCTAACCCGCACGCTTGCCTCGTCCCCGACTGTGGCGCATACAGATCTGGAAGCAGTACCTCTTCTCAGCCCTCCTCTGGACCGCAAGAAGCAATCGCTTTCTATTAAGAACTTCTTGCGAGAGATGTCACATAAAAGCATAAGAAAATCTGGACGTAAGTCGGCCTTAGGCCTATCCTTCTTTTACCTTATGAACTGATCCTGATTGAATACAGTCCAGTTCCTCAAGATGATTTCTATCGCAGCCGTCCAACGATCCCTGCACCGCATATGTGCTTGTTTTTCAGTGGGACCTATGGATCGAGAGGTAGCGCCTCTTCTCCGTTCCCCTACTCGGAACCGCCAATCCGGAAGCCGTCGTCGGATGCGACACCTACTGCCCTACCTCTGGCTTAAAAACAACCGGAAGTTCAATGCCTGTATGGGTCTCCGGATTGCCATCGTCGTCGCAGGGCGGTACCTGAACGTACAGATCCCGAAACAGGTCGGCAAGATTGTAAACCACCTCACAACTGGATCGCATAAAATTCCGTGGAAATCCGTCGTCCAATGGGTCTGCTTTAATCTTCTCTCGAGCGACTTCGGTCTCGATGGGATCGAGAATTTGGCGAGCACATACACGGCGGGTGCTTCATACCAAGAACTAGCGGTGTTCCTCTTCAACTTTATCCTGAATCTTGGGATGCGTTTTCATTCCAAGAAAAACACTGGGGAAATCATAAAATGTCTCGATCAGGCTCAGCTACTCACTCAGGTGGTCGACCTTGTTCTCTTCCAAATCTTCCCCGTGGTCGGCGATCTGATCAACACCATGGTGTACATAGCGTCCGATTTTGGCGCACACCTGATGATTTCGCTATTATGCATGGTTATAATCTATGTCTGGCTCAGTGTCTCTCTCGCAGTTTGGATCAATCCAAAGCGCCGCGCCTTGGCAGAGGCAGAGCGCGCGACGACTTCGATCGCAACAGAAACAATATCAAACTATCGAATCGTGTCTTATTTTGGCAAGGAAGCATATGAGCGGGACCAATATACCAAAGCCATCAAAACCAATGTCGATGCGCGGTACCGCTGCATGTTTCGCGTATACATTGGAAAAGCCCTCCAGGATATCGTTGTAACTGCCGGATACTTTCTGGTTGCTATCTTTGTCCTTTGGCACGTTGTGTCCGACGAGAAGCCCGTTGGGGATTTTGTGCGCTTCTTAATGCACTGGGAAAACATACGAAAGCCTCTTAAAATCATCAAGCGGTCATGGGACAATATAACGGCCTCGATTACTATCGCCGAAAAATCCGTTGAGTTACTCAATACAAGGCCTTCCGTAGTTGAAACTGAACATGCAGAGGAACTTTCCAATGGTCCTGGCGAGGTTATATTTAACGACGTCACATTCGAACATATCGACGGCAAACATACCCTCCAAGGCGTAAGCTTCGTAGCCAAACCAGGCGAGACAATTGCTATCGTGGGCGAAAGTGGCAGTGGAAAGTCTACAATTGGGGACCTCCTCTATCGACAATACGATGTTACAGCAGGATCAATCACCATAGATGGCCAAGATATCCGCTCCGTAAGGCCAGATAGCCTAAGAGAGGCCCTTGGATTAGTGCCTCAAGATTGCGGCCTGTTCAACACCTCCATCTTCGAAAACGTCCGGTATGGGCGCTCTGGTGCCAACAAGGACGAGGTTAAGGAAGCCTGCAAAGCGGCCGCTATCCATGACAAAATAATGTCCCTTCCAGGGGGCTACAGCTTTAAGGTTGGTGAGAAGGGGAACCTATTGTCAGGTGGCGAACGTCAACGCATCGCCATCGCCCGCCTTCTACTCAAGGACCCCAAGATTGTGATTTTGGATGAACCCACCTCCGCAGTTGATGCCAAAACTGAGGCCCAGGTCCAAGAGATGTTTGAGCACCGTTTCGCCAACCGCACGACATTTGTGGTAGCGCATCGTCTCTCCACCATTGTACGAGCCGACAAAATATTGGTTATGTCGAAGGATGGCAGGATAATTGAGCAAGGAAAGCATGAGGAGTTGTTGCAGAATCCTGAAGGAAAGTATACTGGGTTATGGTCTCAGCAGATATCTTAGTGTGATTGACGAATCGAGGCTTTGTTTTTGACATTAAATACAGAATAGCGCGCTTCTATACAGACTTATCTCCGTTGCACGTTTGTTCTCCACTGTTTCCATCTCTGTAGCAGAAGTCTGGACACCCGTGACACGATTACGGGGAGGGCCACAAAACAATGCAGGATGGTGTTCCCCAATAAAACTGTGGAATGGTCTTCACATATCAAGAGCAGGACCAGTAGACTGACAGTAGGAAGTAGAAAGATAATCTGCAGTGTAATCACTTGCACCTGAGGGCGCCTACCAGCTCTCCCTGAGGAACCTGATCGTCCAGGGCTACTGTACGATGGACGGAATCGGTACACTAGTTCCAAGCATGCCTCGTACTACATTCGCGTTAGCCTTAGAGCTTAGAGACAATAATGTAGCTTACAGCGCAGGCGAGTTCTTCTCTGTATGAGGCAGTCAACGGACAGGTCCCTTGTGTTTGGTCCCAGGAATGGGGGTTGACAGAAGTGCATTGTTGGAATGTGGGATCCTGCGGGGTCACAACACCAAGCTGTGGAACTCCGGAAAGGTATGGGACGTCCATGGTCGGTGAGGGATAACAGGAGGACCTGAAGGAGCAAAAACCTATATACCTGCACGCTCTCCGTCTTAAATACTAGCTACTACCTCTGCTGCTGTTGGTTGCTGCCGAGAGCATGGACAAACTATAACAGCTCGGCGAATCCCACGTTAGCATATTGCACCAACTCGTGCCGTGTCACAGCCTTTCAATAACGCCTCCTGGCTATTTATTAGTCGATGCATTCGGCCACAAGCTTGGGCGGCCCTGGGGTTGGAGCTTGTCCGCATTCATTTCTGTCTGGCGGGGAAAGCGACTGTGTGGGCGGTCGCGACGGTCTGGGCGGATCGACGCTGTGGGTCGGCCGTGTGCCCGCTTGGCCATGGGTTCCATGCTACTGGTATAACTGTATCAACACACCCACGTCGAGCGTAATGCTGCACGGGAATTACTGGGGACCACCACAAGGGAGGCGTGATTTGCACAATGCTATGCATGATGCTGACCCGTTTGTGTTGGGGTATGCGGTGAAACAGCATGCATGATTCCTCCCGCCCCGCTCGGTCTGTCGACCCCAATGGCGGTTGCCGCCACTTTTAGTGCCAAACGCAGAGGGCTGATATGTACAGCGGCTATCATTGATTTTGAACCCAGCCTCTAGGAACACGTCCCGTCTCCACGCCTGGTGACTGCTGGAAGGATGAATTATATCCTGGCCGCCACCCATACTATTAAGTTTGAACTTATCCATCAGTTCCTCCTCGACTAGAAGCCCCAACTTTTTCTCTCGCAATACCCTTCACCTTTGCATCTATTACAGAATGGATATTCGCCTGCTTCTTTGTCCAGAACCTTCTCAAGAGCCAAGTCAGCATGGCATACTAGACCCGGAAAAGTCCCCTCCAGTGGCAGGGATAGGAGAGGAGCAATCACGAGCGCCGCTAGAAGAGAGCAACCTTCTTTCACCAAGTGATGGGAATCAAGACGTTAACAGGGGGAACACAGAGTGTCTCGCCAAATGGTACATTTATCATGCATGTCTAAGAAGGAGTAGCTTGGCTCCCGATGTCTACAGACAGTGCTAACAAGGTCAAGTCCTACAGCTCAACAAGCAAGAATTGCACCCGGTTCTTTAAAGCATCTCAACTCAGCGATTCCGCTGTTACCTACCCTTACCGCTGATCAGTCATCGACCGCTTCCATATTTTGCACCTATTGCGTTGAATCTGGCAAGCATCCTGGGAACGCGACGTTTGCGATGAAACATGACTGGTTGCGACATGTCCACAACTTCCACTTCGACAAGTCACTTGGAAGGCGCTGTGCATACTGTTCTCAACTCTTCGGTTTCATGTCTAATAGAAACACCGACGCAGTGCGCGTGCACTTCCGACAAGAACATCAGAATAAAGTTCCTCTACTAGTGGACGATCATCAGCCCTGCCTCTATGCTTGTGGATTTAAGGACTGTTACGTGCTTTGCAGGACGAATAAGGAGTATTATACGCATGTCTGCGGTCATATGCAGAGAGGGGAGACTGGGTGGAGTTTTGACAGCACTATTCGAGCTCTGCTTAGGCACCCGCAGCTTTTCGACTATTGGCAGGCCGCCTGTGCTATTCTGGGTCCTCAGTGCGGCATTACCTCTGACAAGTTGCAATGGGACTACAGCCACAAGACGGAGCGGATGAGACGCCAGCTACAATACTTTGATTTCAGCAACCAGTTTGGTGATTTCCTTCAGGAACTTTTCTTAGCTGGAATTCCGCATGATTCATGGTAAGTAGATCTACTGCAAACCCTATCTAAGGTGATTTAGGCTAACAGAGCTGTTTCGACCTCTGTACAGTGCATGTTCTGACCGCGGGAATTCGAAACGGGCACGACCCGCTAACTCCGCCACGACATCCTCCGGACCAGAAGGCCAGTCGTAGAGGTAGGAAGAGTTGAATTGCCAATGCTAGAGGAGCTGCCGAGGGGAGCGAACAGCTGGGGGACGAGTTAAACCGTTAGTTGATTGAGAAGTTGATTACGGAGGACAAGAAGGGCAGCTGCTAGCTATAGGCACAATTCACTATTAGGTACATAGTTCTGCTGTGAAAGCCGGGGATCTCTAGGGACAACCCGAGGTCCTTGTGAGGGTCTCTGAGGCAGGTGCCTAGGAAGAGGCGTAGATTGCGCTAGAGTACAGAAGATTGAGTGTGCCGAGTAGGAGAGGCGGCGAGGCAGGCTCATAAGGACGGGGATGGAAGAACCATCCTTTGAGGTCACGTGACTAAGGTACAGGAGTGAGTAGGCCAAATCCATCACATAATCCCCCCCCTTCAAAAGAGCAGGCTCCGACGCTCGTATGGGAGCTCCTCCATGAAACTGAGATCCTCCAAACGGTACACAAACAGGTGTACGGGCAAGCGCTCGGGCGCAGTGCTGGGTGGGCGTGGGTGGGTAAAGCATCGAAAACTCGTGGGCATCCGTGGGCATCGGTGTGGAACGCAGGGGTCGAAACAATAGGTTCTTGGCGCGCGCGCGAGGGAGGCGCTCTGGGACCTCAAACAATAGGGCAAATGGCCAGGAAAAGGCCTATTGTACGAGGTTTCCAGCGCTGGGAGATCGTGACTAATTTCCTCTTTGGGGCAAGCGTGGCTCAGTTCTCAGAGTCGTACTGAGGCTCATCGGGCTGAGAGTCGTACTCAGGTTCTTCGGGCGCAGAGTCGTACTCAGGCTCATCATTGTATAGAGGCTCCTCAACTTCGTCATCGTCGAGTATGAATAGTTTGATCGGTTTCTTTGGTGACCTCATTAGGATCCCACTTGGACACTGCCTCAGGCTCAACCCCGGAGAGAACAGCGAAGTACAACTGCTCTGGACTTAATAGCTGCTTCGCGAAGAGCACCCATTGGATACACAGCGCCTTGCCCAAATACAGCACCTACAGGAACGATTGAATCCGATCTCTGATACGGAATGAGAGCCAAGCCAACAACTCGACTGTCCTTACGACAAGAAACTCTCCTCATGAGCCACAATTAGAGATTACGCTGGAAGAGAATACCAATGCGACAGAGCTTACCCGAGAAAGATCTTCCCATGAGCTCGTCGGACCACAACTGGGCGTGACAGGTGGACACATCAAAGTGGAAGAAGATGGAGATGACAGTGGTGGTGTTGCAAGAAGTTCATGTCAAGCCGCAGAACCACAATTAGGTGCGGAAATTCTAGACTGTTCGTTAAATTTCTGACTAAAAAGCAGGTATAGCTTGTATCAGCTGCCAGGGAGATCTCATATCCCCAGAAACGCTGTTCGCTGCTAGATGCGCCTGCGGCTTTATTCGAGTCTACTGTAGTCTTTGCCCGCCTAGAGGCGCGACTACTCTGCGTTGTCCGAAACATACACTTGAGCTTGGAACTAAGATGAGGAGAGTTCAACGATGGACCTGCACTAGGTGCAGCGACTGTGATCGAGGATCTGCGAGGCTGCTGAGATGTGGTAAGACCGAAGCAACAATATGCTCTATCAGCACGCTTACGCTACACTTAGGTCATGTATTTTGCTTGGAGAGCCTTACCCGCCATGCAGAATGGTACTTCTTTCAGGCTCCATATTACACATCTATACCTTGCCCATCATGCTGCTTCGATCACGAATAGAACGGAAATGGATGGGAGGATGTTCTAAAGGACTGGTGGCCATTTCCACTCAACGCAACTACAATTTTTGAGGTAATGATCGTGTTCCAATTGGCCTCATTTGTAACTAATAATGAACAGCAGTCTAACCCCTCGGCTGTATCTCCTCTTAAAATAGCCTGTTTACAACGCGAGCGGACCTGGAAACTATTTCTGTTTGTGTGGAGGTCGTTAAGCCTGCAGCTCGACGGAGTTTCTTTGAGCAGCGAAGCATTGAGAGCCTCCTGCGAACTTTCAGCACTAATACAGTTCGAGGTTAGAGAGGAGGAGCTTCGATGCCCCTATATTAGTGACGGCAGCTGCTACAAAATTCAGCAAGCGTGGGTTACACTTGCATCTGAGCGAGAGGCGATGCCGCACTTTGTGGAAATGGAACAGATAGAGGGTGTTCTTCAGTCGCTGGTTGTACTGGACGACTACTGCATTGCGCTACGGGAGGGAGGATCAGAAGCAGGAGAGGTCTAAGGTCTTACGCTTTCCACCGCTTCTCTGAGTTATGCTGACTTTTCCGATCGCGAAAGCAAAGAACAAGTAATGCCCTAAGCTAGTTGTTGTAACGTTATCTTGTAACTAATACTGTCGCATCTCAGTAGTAGAAGCCCTCACTAAGCGCAGTGGTTTGTCCAAGGCCAAGGTGGTATTTTAGAAGTAAGGCGAGCGATAATTGTATACGATATCTAGGGTGGTCAAAGCAGTATGGATCACGGGTCCATATGAAGGAGAAAAGGTCTGCGGGAGCTGTGTGTGAGAGTCGGGGGCCATGGGGCTGGAATACATGGCCTATCCGCGAAGCCAAGAGCATGGTTAGATCAATCAATTGAGGAGCCATATTGCGTTATCATGGAAGTGGCAGTTATCATTATGAAGGCGTACATTCTTATATGTAGACGGTGACGATTCCTTCCAACAACCGTTTCTCGATTGTGGGCCCAAAGCGGCTAGCGCATAAGCTTCCTGCACACTGCGTTTTGAAACTCCGCGAGAGCTGATTTATTAACGTAGTAGGCATTTAACAAGAAACCTAGGCCGAGAGAAAGATGAGATCTAGGTAAAATGAGGCCGATCCTGCACTCCTAATGCATCAACGATGTCCTCTTGGAATGCGCCAGGCATTCCACGCTTCTCTGTGGTCACAAAACCCTCGAACCCTTGGCCGCGGCGCTTCTGAGCAACTTTTTTGTTGATCCTGTGGTTTCGCTCTTTTCGCGGTGCTGCTGCATTCTTGTCTACCACAGGAGCGCTTTGCATCTGATCGCGCGGAGTTGAACGCCCTTCCCCGTTGAAGAGCTTATCGAGCATGTCTGCCGCCGAAGCTCGTACCTTCGGGTCGACGATCGCCATGTCTTGGATGGGGCGGAAGCCATCCTCATTCGCAGCCTCCTGTACTGCCCTGACGCGCAACGCATGCGTGTCGAACCGCTTCTTCCGGAACCCATTCACGTTCAATGCGTACGCTAACGTGACATAAAGGGACCAAACATCTACCTTTGATGTTTGTTGAGTCCCTGAAAAGAACTCGGGTGCCATGTATATCGGAGATCCAGCGAGCGTTTGGGCGTCTACGATGAGATTGCAAAGGCCAAAGTCCGTAAGTTGAAAGATATAGCCGCCGCCTGATAGAGATTGGTAGAGGATGTTCGCAGGCTTTACATCCCTATGGACAATGCCCTTGAATGCAAGGTAATCGAGCGCTTGGAGCATCTGGTGGAGAAGAGACTCCGCCAATTTTGGGTCTCTTAGAAACAGCTCTTTCTTAATTAGGTCTTCAATGTTGCCCTCCCTAAGAACTGTCAAGATTTCAAGATGCGTTCCTCCAAAACCTTGCGCTGATATGAATTCTACGATGTTTGGCTGATGGACATATTAGCTGATGCTCAACAAAACGAACCTGGAGCGCTATAACTTACGTGAGACATACGCGCGAAAGTCTCTACTTCCCGCTTCAACATCGTGTACTGCTGCGACTGGAGCCCGCGCTCGGGCCATTTCACCAGCTTGAGCGCGAAAAATTCGCCCGAATCAACATCCACAGCTTTCCAGACCTCCCCAAACGAGCCCTTTCCAAGCTCTACTTTCTTATAGTACCTGATCGTCTTCGCTGACCCTCGAACGCCAGGGGTATGAACAACAGGAGTGTGGATCCGTGTGGTACGCTTGGAGGGTAAAGCGGTCGGTATCTCGTCGTCGACGGTTCGGGTAAAGCGAGGATGGTCCTCTCGATTCGCGATCTGCTCTTGGAAATTGGATGGACGTTTATGCCAATATATTTCGAATTGGAAAAGGTTGCACCCTACACCGCCGAATCCGAATTGATTATTGACCTGCTCGGCCACGACAACTCGGCGGTTGGGACGCTCCAGCTGAAACGGCAGAGCATTTGGACCGAAAGTCTGAGTCGACCAGGAGCTCGATCGATCGTAGAGGAAGATCTCCTCCGTGTCCTTATGGATCTCGAAAGAACATTGGATCCGGGAGATGGAAGAACCCTCGACAGTGATGTCGCCGGTGCGTCCAATAGTCGCAAGGGTATAGCTCGACTTCGACCCGATTTGGAAGCCAATGTTGAGGCCCCGTGCTACTTCTCCCGGATTTAGGGTATTTTCCGCACCAGGAACGAACGAAACAAGATGACGATTATCCGGATGATCGACGACACCCTCGACGGTTTGCTTGTTTAACGGTATGAGCGAAAAGAGAGCAAGAGGGTGAGGCCGTACACGGGGCTGAGGATGGGACATGATTTTGCGTTTCGCCTGTCAACAAGGACTAGGAATGCTAACGAAGGAGAATTGGGACAGAAATGGTCTCTGCTCATGTGTGTCCCAGCGTACAGCAGAGTCTGGGTTTGACTGAACTGAAGAGAATGGTCCTAGAGAGAGAGGCACAGCGGTGGGATTTCACTGCTTAACCTCCCGTCAAGGGAGACAGGAGAGGTTGGCCTCCACCCCGTACCCTACCACTATATGAATGGCTAAAAGGGCCATGGTTACTAACCGCAAGGCTAGAAGGACGGAGTATCTTGCAACATCGTCTTCGCGAATAGAGCACGACGGCGGCTAAGGAGCGCTTCAGGATGCAGGGAACGATTGGCTACGAGTGGGCCTGTTCCGGGAGCGCCAAGAGGTGGGGCAATTTAGGCAGCCGCCAAGGATGAGCTGCTCAACTGAGCTAGCCCGCTCCTAACGTGACGCATAGGCCAAGTGCGCAGCCGCTCATCTTCTCTTCATCCTCTTCTTTTCTTCACCATCTTTCTGCATATCAATCTTTAGCTACTCCCGCTGCACCCTTCCACCTATCTACCTACCCGCTTCTTACCGTCATAGCCATGGCCTTCTCCTTTAACTATCACCAACGCCAAGGCTTTGTCGGTGTTATGAACGCCCTTCAACGGTTGGAGGAAGACCCAGGGCGGCTTAGCCTTGAGAGAGCGCGTTACGACGATCCTCCACCGCCCTACCCATCGTCAGGCGAGACGACGCAGCCTGCGAGCCCTGCCGAAGCTCACGTTACTGATGAGGCGGCGCTTCAAGCCCGGCGTAACCTCATGCTCCGATCGATGCCGTACGCCCAGTTCGATAGCCAGACGCGTAGAGAAAGAGAACGGATAGTATACCAGCGGGGGGAAGAGCGCTACGGGCGGAGGCGGACGCTGCCATACGATGAAACGGCCGACTTGCTAGCGAACTCCCAGAACAACATCCGGGCCCGTTGGGTAGAACAGGGCATCTGGAAGGAGGAATGGGGCCCGGCCTGGCCGAAGGGAGCCAAACCATGGGATAACCGTTGGCGTTCTTCACGCGAAAATACAGGAGGACCCCGCCCTTTCGGCCGCTGGCTCCATGAAAAGAGGCCCGATCCGAAGCTGCCATCTCCCGAACCAGCACCCGAGCCGGAGACTAAGGCCATCCGAAATATCTTCGTTGGATTGGGGCGAGAAGAACCAAATGCTACCACGGAAGAACCAGGACATGCTTCTGCACCAGATGTCACTGAGGCGCCAGCAGCTACATCTGAGCGCGATACTTCAGCGTCTCGCCCCTACCAGCAGTTTCTCTTCCAAGTATCCAAGGAGCGCGAATGGGTAAGAGACGAGCTTCAATTCAAACGGTCCGCTGGAACGATTGACATCGACGCCATGGCCTACGAAAGCACTAAGAAGAACTGGATCGAAGACGAGATTTGGAATCCTGCATGGGGCGAACTGCCCGGGACGACCTGGATGCACGAGGACCTTGAGGAGGAGGACGAACGCCGAACGTCTATACCGCAGCCTGATGCAGTCAGCAATGACGAACAACCACCCCGTCTTCCCAGCCCCAGGTCTTTCAACTCGGAGCCAACGCCTGGCGTCTACAACGATGGTACAAGCAGCAATAATTTATCTACGGTCCCCGAGGAGGTTGATGCCTCTAGTGGAGTGATTGCTAGAGCGAGGGGTAAGAGGAAGAGGGCGAAAGGCACCTCCCGGCTGCCTACCGTTAAAGAGAGCCCGCGGTCAGCAGAAGAGTCGGCAGGCCGAGCCCTTCGGAGTGTGCGTTCGTCAAAAGTGATGAAACCGAGCGAATCGGAATCTACTGTTTCCAACACCCGTTTTCGGAAAAAGAATTACCGCATGTTTGGGCCTGGTGAAATATCCAATTTGATTCGGCAAAACAGCACGTCACACACGCCAGGAGGCGATGATACGATTGTGGCACCTGGGAACGAGCAATTTTCCACTAAAAGGCCTATCCGTACCTGTAGGCGGTCTTCTCTTGGGCTAGCGGGATCAGGGATGTCGAAACCGAAGAGCAGGATAGAACACCAACGGCAGCCAGATGCTCGTACCAAGAATGCCACTTTACAATTGCCGTCGGCCGGGGCGCTCAACAATACCAGACAACGACGTCGTACAGTCGAGAATCAGCCGATTGCAACTAAGGTACCCCGGAGAAGCAAGCGCATAGCTGCGCAGATGCGGAATATCCCAGTTGAGCGCGAGCGTAAGACGGCAGCATCCGGCGAGGCCAAAGGACGATCACGGTCATCACCACACGCCACATCTATCTCGGCAGACAGTAATCGGATAAGAAAACGGCAATGCAGCTCCAATGGTGGGACACAGGCGAGACGGCAGTCAAGATCATAGTTAATCAACTAGGTGTATTCCCAACTTTGATGTACTAGTAGCTGAACAAATAACTAAATATTTACGCGCTTAGGTAATTAATGTCGATGAGGAAAGCGAGATCTTGATCGCGAGATCTTGAGTATATGACCATCTCAATATAACTAAAACGAACTGTACTAAGACGATGAGCGTACTGGTACGATGGGCGTCCTGGTACGATGGTACTGGTACGATGGGCGTAATAGGACTGGCCGTCAAAAGAACTGTTCCTATATGCTGATCCGCTCACTCGGCTCGAGGTGAACATCGTGAGCAGTGCAAGCCACACTGCTGGCAGCTCACCCTGCTCACTGTGATCAAGGTGGCCTTGCTGCCTGACGCTCACCTTGCTCACTGTGATCTGCGTGAGCTAAGCGCCCTGATCACGCGACTTGCGGCGTAGCTGTTCCAGTTACATGTGTTGTGCGACATCCATTGGTGGTTCATGAATCCCTTGCGTATCCTTAACCCCTTGAGTGTTATCCCGTAACACTTATACACGTTACAGTAAGGTTCCACACGTTTCCATGGCTATAGGGCTGCGTATCCTTTCAGCCTGCTGCCTGGCACCGCAGCTCACCGGTCATCTGCCCTGTCACCCACATCTGTCGAGGCCCAGCGGTTACATATATTGCACCATGCCGGCGTTAGCGAAAGGGGGCATCCGCCCGAAGCCCATTTCCAGTCGCTCACCGGTATCTACATAGGCATTATGGCGGATGTTCAATTGCCGGGTTTTTGCCTGGGGGTTCCAATTGACCATCGGCTCGAACCTGTTTTCGCTACCGGACTCATAACTCCGGATCCCTTCGCTGCTCCCGGAGGCCATGCTCGAACAATTGAGAGTTATGGTCGCCGTCGTCAAAAATATGGCGTAGGTATTTCCGACAATGAGGTCAAGTTTGCAAAATGGCTCGCCATGCCGGAGACGACGGGCGGTGTCGTGATTGTCCTTCAGCAGCCAGCAGAGCACCAACGCTATTTCTCCGATCAGGGCCAAACAGTGAAGGACTGTGATACTTTGGACGCTGTTGACGAAGTGTGCAAGGCAGTTACTGGGTGTGGCCTGGAGAAGATAAGCTGCTTCGATGCCTTCCCCTTTCACAAGATCCCTGTGAGCAAAAGTCTGGACAAATATGAGGAGGAACTCGACGAAGCATACGCCATATTCCTTCATATGATCCATCAGAAGCAGCCAGATGTGGTGTTTTGCTGTTATCGCAGCCCGCATCCTACCAAGTACAAGCACTTCCAGCGCATCGGAATTGGACGCACTCGCGATCATCCAGTCACTGTCCAAGGCCAACGGTACACCTGTGTGAACGGCTTCCATCCGAGCTATGCTCTCAACTACCTCGAGGACAAAAGCGCATTGCGGAGGCTCTTCGTCATCGAGGCAACGCAAGCATTACGTCGAGCTAATGGCACCTGGGAAGAGAAGCCTTGGATGACCGATGTGCGGGAAAATTGTGCCGCCATAGTCCAGAAAGACATCGAAGGTAAGAGACTGTCCCCGATTCCTTTCTCTCTTTTTACAAGCCGTGGAGAGAATGACTGGTAACATTGCTCTCGTCCATTAGATAAGCAGGACCACCCAAGTTGGACTAAGCACGACTTTCAACGTGAGCGATTCCAGTTATATATGGAATGTATAACGACGATTTCGGACTCCCTAAAATCTGGTGCATATGATGACATGACCAACGATGAGCTCTACTACCACTTTTTGGAGAAGCGTTACAATGTCCTCTTCCCCAACTGTCTGCTGCTCCTCGTGAAAATAATCAACTTTGAGGACCGCGGACGCGATCGTCTGCAGGACAAAGGGTTTACGCGGCTGCGCCAGCGAGAGGAGCGCGATGTGCGAGATCTGAGACGGAATGTGGAGAAGAAATGCGATGAGTTCCTGCGCTCTCTCTGCGCAGCTGGAGCACCCTTTCAGGTCGAAAAAGGAGGGAGGGGTCTGTTCACCTCTGCTGGTTTGAACAAAAGCCTTGCCCCTCTTGAACCATTCACGTGCCAGTCTGGGTTCCATTACAACGTGCGACTTAGCTTCCTGAAATTGGTGCACGGCCTTAACGGCGCCTATACGTACCAGCGCAAAGATGTCTACAAGATTGATAGGGACGAGCTCGCTGAGGCGTTCAGACTTTCTGCTGGCATCCTTGAATGGGCTTTGGCACAGCATGCCGCCAGCACACGGAGACGGGTTTTGGGGGAAGACCTCACGATCTCAAGCCGGTTCAACTTGCTGACGATCGAGAGCAGCCCTCAACAGACTAAATACGCAGCTCGCGCTAGATTTTCGCAAACAACGCTGCCGGCCTCTTCATCCGCCTACCTACAGTCCCCGCCGTTCACGCCTTCACGACGTCCTACTGAGGCAACCGCTCCTTGCCTTTCACGGGCTGCTGCGTGGTCGTCTCCCGCCCCTGGAACACGCTTCGGCATCGTGTCACCCATTCGTTCGCCCCAAGATGCCAGTTCTTCCCAGTACCGCTCGGCACGCAAATGCACTAAGTGCAACCAAACTGGGCACTCTTCCCCCAGCTGTCCAAAGACACAGTGTTACCGATGTAAGTACCCAAGAACGGAAGACGGCTCTGTGATGCTGCTTTTCCACTGTACGACTATCTAAATTACTGCAGACAAAGAGAGCTAACACTCTGCTAAAACATTTAGGCGAAAGCTTTGGCCACATGAGTTTTGATTGCGTATACCCCTCTACACCTCAGCGTCGGCGCTGATAGTGAGACTAAGAGAGAAGATAAAACGGCTCAATTTCATTGCTGCATGACGTAAGCAGGTGGGTTGTAGGGTGTATTGAGTATATAGGGGTAGTAGATAAGTGCATGAAGGTGCTCTTCTGTGTGTATACGTGTGTGTGTATCTATGTGTATGTGTAGAAACAATCAGAGGCCCTTAAGTATTGATCGAGCTTAGTCATCTGGGATGTTACTCTCAGGTGACATGTGCTCTGGCTGCTTACACATGATTTTCACGACTTTGTTGTCAGGTTACTACGCGTTTTTTTATATCCCGAGATTGAGAAAAGGGCGGGAAACCGAACCTTATTGAGTTTAACATCTGTTGAGGAGGCTATAAGGAAGGTAGGTCATTGACTTTGGTTGATTCGGTCAGAGAATAACTACCTTTCAGACTAGTTATGCCATAATGTTATACAGAATCTTCAGAACCATTTTCTTGTCGTCTTAGCATTACGGTCGCTTCAAAATTTGTGTATTGCTAGCAGTACTGTATCGAGCGAAGTCGGCTTCGTACGTAGACGAGTTTGAATGATTAGAACTACAGAGACGACGCTCAACTACGGCCAAATCTTCATTGACTTTCGGTCACGGAGGCACAGGGTTGGTTTCGCGATAGTACACTGAGTTGAGATTGCTGCCTAATATAATAGAGACACGAGTGATGAATGCCAAACAAGGATGATGAATCCTTAAGTCCTCCGGCGAGCCCCAATACCCACTCGCAGAAAACTCCTTTGCCTTTAACTTTTCAATACATTGATAGCCTCAAGAACGTTCTCAACCGTTGAGATGTCCTCACCGCAGTCTAGATAAACTGCTCCTACCAGCGCTTCGACTGTCGATGCGGCCGTCCTCTGTCCCACTTGCCCTTGCTGGCACGGATTTTTGATGACGTATTCGACCAGACCGCTCTCGTGAGCTACTTGGCTTAACTTAGTATTTTTAGCTAGGTTTATCACTTCGTTTGTGCCCTCCTCTAATTTTGTTAGCCTTACTAGCAAGCGTCTGACACACATGCTTACCGGTAGTTTCACCAGATAGGTACCAGTGCTCAAGAATAACCTCTTTTATGATGGAGTCCCCGAGGAGAGCGAGACGTTTGTTGCCTTGCGGGTTGCCCTGTATATCCCTCCTCGAAACCGTCGTTCCTGCAGCGAGCAAAGCTTCATCGAGCAAGTCATGATTCGAAAATCGGTAGTGAAGGATGCTCTCAACAGGATGTGCTGCCATTGTTGATGACTTAAAGGGGGGAAGTGTACGATTACAAGCGTTAAACCACATACGTACTGCTGGGGAATCAAGATATAAGTTAATGCTAACGTTTGACGTAATGCGGCTCGTGAACGCAGATTTAGCCGGTATTTAGACTCCTCACAACACCTCATTATGAAGTAGTACTAGATATGTACAGGCACATGCAACCCTAGCTCTTTGGCTTGTGACCGCCTGGACCCGTCTTGTGTGAGAAAATTCACATGTGCGACAGGAGATCACAACCAAGCTTGCATCGCTGATTGCAACCCCTTAAGTGTCCTTTTCCCCCAGGTTTGCCTCTATCGTACAGACAGGTCCCGCATATTTCGTTTTGATGCACCACATGGCGAATACAACATCCAGGGGTATGTATTGGGCAGCTGGTGGAAGTCTGGACGGAAGCCGTGGATGGAAGCCATGAATCCTCGTCGTCAAGATCATCCTTACTGGTTCCTGTGAACAGCGCAACAAGGAGCGACCACGGTGTGTGTTCGACCTGGGGGGTTTTGGTTCCCCCTCCCCTCTCTACCATCGTCAACAGCAGGCGCTGGCTCTCGGAGCCGGTGTAACAGAAGCGCTTACCGTGGTTGCAAAGCTCCAAACCCTAGGCCTGGATCAATACGAGATCCCGCTGCCTAAATGCGTCGTCCTAGGTATGTGACCCTCGTGCTGATCCATGGTTGCCATCCAGCTAATCTTCTTAGGTGACCAATCCACTGGAAGAATGTCACAGATAACCCTGGGCCTGGATTAATACGAGATCTCGCTGCCTAAATGCGTCGTCCTAGGTACGTGACCCTCGTGCTGATCCATAGTTGCCATCTAGCTAATCTTCTTAGGTGACTAATCTACTGGGAAACGCTCTGTAATAGAGGCAATCTCCGGCATTAAAACCCCGCGAGCAACCAACACGTGTACACGGTGTCCCCTCTTCATCAAAATCAAACTGGCGGAGGATCCACGTGCCCGCTAGGAAGCTCCCCTGTTTCTCCATCTCCGCTTCCTATACAAACCTCAGCGCCAGGGCGGAAACCCGGGGGATCGTGCCCCCCCCCACTCTCCACCATCGTCGAAAGGATCCTCGTTCCGCATTTATACGAACCTCAGCGCCGGAGTAGACATAAACAACGATTCCTAGGATGGGTACAATTGCCTCCACTCGAGGAGTTTGACAAATCATATCGCCGTGCAGAGTTTAGTCTAAACTGTGTCTGCATTTACATCTCGCACCTAGGACTGGCCTCTCTTTCGTTCTATGACCTCCCGGGAATCATTGGACAATACAAGGATCCTGCCACACACTTCCTCGTAGCCTTTGGATAATGGGTACAGTTGCTAGACGAACTGGTGGAATAGTTCAAATGGAAAGACCTGGCCCACAAATATGAGGAATGGCGTGCGCAGATTATCGATATCGACGGCATGACTGAAAAGACACCGCTTCCATTAATGGAAGAGCGTTATCTAGGCGGGAAAACTTTGGCCTAGGTCTGTCAAGAACAACTGAATCTCCGCCCCTTCGTCGATCCCAACGCTCCTCCGCCAGAAGATGATAAGAAGTCCGACGAGGATGAAATCTAGTACAGGGATCTACTGCTTAGATTAGTGTAGATAGAAGTAAGGACGATAGAAGACGCTAGTTGCGATGGAGGGTATTTTAATGGACTTTCTCTATGGCGCCCCAGAACTTCCGGACAGGATCCGCTGCCATGCGGAAGACGATGAGGGAAGAACGGAAGCGTCGCGCGTAGGATCAAACACGATGTTTGTATGAAAAGGGCATGTAGTTTCAATCAAGGCCTTACCTATGAACCTCCGTAGATTGTGAGTTTGATCTGGCATCTTTTTCGGGTCCTGCTACTGTAGTTAGCGTGAGTAGGGACCGCAGGCACCCCTAGTGCCCCATCTTTTCAACCCCGTAGGGGGCAGCACGCGGACGAACAAAGAAGACATACGCGGGGCAACGGGGTGCGACATACATAGACACTTGGTTGCTCCTTACGCGTAATCTAGGCTCCTATGACAAGGTAACCCGTAGGAAAAATTGCAAGTCACCGCTTATCTATAGACTTCGGGCATTACTAAATGTAGCTACTGCAGCTCGAGAGTATCTCAATTATACCCCCGCGCAGCGCCCCGCGCTACATTCTGTGGCTTTTGCGGGGGCCAACACAACTCTAAAACAGGGATACGGAATTTAGTTCGGCGTCGATTTCGCGTATCTAGGTATGTAAGTCTTTCGCATATGCTTCTAAGCCTTGATGACCCTTTCGTCAGTCTCGACTCGCTGAGGGACCGTCTGGATTAAAGAATTGTTGTGGGTGTTCTATTAAGATGTGCAGGGATTAACATGAGTAGTGTTGCACGATACTCCCAGATAAACGCTTTCTATTCCCAGCGAAATCAGGCATCTACTATTTCATCGTAAGACCTCTTCCGCTTGACTGCTGGAGGAGGAATGCCGTGGTCAGAGATAGCGTGCTTCCAGAAATCATCAACGCTGTCAAATCTGTCCTCGCACAATGGGTGCGGGCAGGTCTGAGGGGAAGCATCCTTCTGAAGATGGCCCTCCATGTGCTTAAGCAGCTGATATCCCTCGGAGAATTGACACCAGCGGACCTCCGGTGCAGCCGCTGTATCCCCTAGGCAGAATAAACAATGTCCGGCTACTACTACTAATCTGTTTCGACGTATTATGCCGCAATAGCTATTCAGCTCTTCCACGTGTTGTCGACAATGCTTTGACCAAAGGCCATCAGCTGCGAAGTACTCCCCATGTTCGTAACAGTAATGTATCTTCGTAGGGATGGTTACTTCGTTTGGGACCTCGTGAACAGTTGAGACATGGTAAGCAAGATCGATCTCGTCTCCGCTAGTGTAGCCACAGTGGTTCCAAAGACACTGGGACAGTGCATTCGCTTTAAGATGGCTAGTAACATGCTTCGAGTACGTATTGCAGGATTTTCGTGCAAAGTAGAAATTGCAACTGTTCCAGCCGCACCGCTTCAGGGTTTTCTCAAAGTAGTGCTGCATCTGAGCTGTCTGTTCTCGCCTTAATCGTTTCTGCGTACAGGTAAGCAGATGCGAGTGCACAAGGCGATTGTCGGCAAGGTCCTTGTTGCAATTAATACATCGATTGTCCTCTGTTAGACCGGTTTGGGGATAAAATAAACGTCCAGAAGCCGGGTTTGCCGTGCTGCGCAGTATAGGGATCACCTGGGACAAACTTGTGTCCTCCTCAGTGAAAAGAGAGGTACAGAGTTCTCTCCGACGTCTGTCATAGCGAAGATAGGCTTGAAGATAGCGGGATGGCATGCGCTCCATAGCTTTCTGCCGCCAAGGTTCTACGTCTGTCAAGGCTCCGTTTTGGAAGAATTCTTCGCGATTCTTTACGTAGATTTTCTTTCGCAGCCGTCTCTGGATTCTGTCCTTCTTTTGGGGTGACATGGACAAGGTTTCGGAAAGGTCGACTTGATGTAGATGCTTGGCCAGTTGGGAACCTGGTGGCATTGGGGCGAGCAGATTTCTCCGCGCTTTCATAGATATTGCTTCCTCAATTAACGCCTGGTTAGGCGTACGTCCTTGGGCTAGTGATTGTGTATCTGCACCAACAATTCCAGATATGTACTTTTGAAATATATCATCTGAACCGTGGCCCATTAATTGTCGTCTTTGGGCTTGACTAACAGCCTCTATAATTTTGTAAGCTTATGTTTGTGAAAGCACTAATGCACTTACTGTCAATCGTGTTACCAAAACCTCTCCGGAAACAATATCCAGTGAGATTCTCTTCATATCCAGCTCGTTGACCTAGCCCGACAAACATGTTACTTATGCTGTTGTATTTCCAGATATGATCCTGGTGGATAACTCCTTTCTGATCAACTGCCCGAAGGATAGGAATGTCAAGCATGCTAGATTTAATCTTAAACCAGCACGTATCTGTACCGGGAGGTGTTGGTGCAGCTTCAAGGGATGTGAAAGAGTCACATCCTTCAATAGCCTGGTCCGCAAGAGCCAATGCAAGAAAATACGCAACAGGGCAGAAGAATCGTCTCTTTGGCTCCTCGTAAAGAAGGAGCTGAGGACTAACACAGTTAGCTAGAAGACATTTAATTAAGATTTGTTAACCTACGCGTGCTTTTCAGTGTTTCGGACCCCCTTTCGACACCGCAAACGAACAAGAAGGAAGTAGCCAGTGTATGCTGTAGTTGATTTCCGACCTAATTGAAAATCTTTGTAGTGAAGGCCCTCGTTACTACCCGCATATGCTGTAGATTCTACAACTTCTCCTAGCCGGCATCCTACTAGAGCAAGGATAACAATAAGGAACGCAAGCTGCAAACGGATTCGCGAATGCAGAAACTCATACTCGTCGGCTTTCCATAGGAAGGTTACAAGGTCCTCAGCTACTGCAAACGGAGCTACTGGTTTATGGCGAGCTTTCGTTGATATCTTTCCTTCGTTAACAAGGTCACCTTTAATGAAGGTTGCAAGAGCTTTTTGGTCGCTAGGCCCGTAGATATAACCTGTGTGGAGTCTTATAACCAGTGTCAGAGCATGAAGCCGATGCAGAAGGGTAACGTCGGTTATATGCTCGTCAAGAACGCCTCTTGCATGGCGCGCATACCATCGGAGAAATATCTGAATCTCCTTCACACTTGGAAATGTAGAGAGACACTCCTTATCTCTCTGCTTCAGGATCTTCTGAGAGAACCTTTGGTTCTTAGCAGTAGCCTAGTCAGACACATTATACAGCAACCTACTTCCGCCACTGATTCAATATGTGATGATACCGCTTATACTGATCTGGCTTTAGGCGAATTCGAAGCTCTTCATCAGTCGGCACCTGGCGGGTGCTAGACTCTTGTGCAAGCGCTATTAGGTCGTCGTCATCGCTCTCTGATATACTCGTAGGGTAATCGCATTTGTTCTCCATAGGGACGATGCACTAAATGGGTCGCAATAAAATCGTTGCAGTAAAAGGGTTGCAGTAAAGGTATTGCAGTAAGGGGTTGCAACAAAAAGTTGCAGTAAACGGCTTTCAGCGAAGGGGTTGCAGTAAAGGGGTCGCAGTGAAGTAGTCGCGAAGTGAAGGAAACGAACTTAAGCGGAAGAGAAGACTAGTAAGTTGGCAACCTATTTATAATAACTAGATCCTGGTATCAGTAACGCGGAACCGATTTGGGGTAATGCAACTTCTTGCAGCGCCCTGCGCCACATTTTGCCGCGTTTGCCGGGATTAACAACAGAACTCTGAAATAGGAATACGGAATTTTCAGTTTGGGCAGCTTCAAAACCGTCGATCTCTGGAGAGGCCTAGCTTTCCGTGTGCTATGGTCGTATGTGCTTGTAGAAGTAGAATATAGATTTATATTCAAGCAGAATTTCATGCACAGGAATCCGACCCGAGAGGCGGAGGAGTTGGAAAACATGGCGGAAGCCTTTCTTCACTTTTGAACACAGCACTTATGTTTTCCTTTGACTGCAAATGTATACAAACGTACTTTTCTTCTATATGTTCTCGTTGGCAACTATTACGATCTCTTGAATGCAAATTTCCTTGCGTAGAGACGAATAAATTTGTGAAACGCGTAGCGCACCGTGATATGGTACAGGTTACTCATAACCCCTTCCCATTATCGCAGCTTTTAAGTGCTTAGGACTATACCGCGTTATGCACTGGACTTACCGACCTAAAGTCTCGTTACTCTACGTTAGATGCAAGTTGTTACATACCATGCATGATTTCCCATTTCGTACTACACCTACCCTAGTCCCGTTCGGGAAGTAACATCGACCAATCAGATTCCCGACGCGTGTACTGTGTAACTTCCTCGCCTGCAGCCTTGGCGCCATCATCATGCCAACGTCAAACAAACAGGTCTCTCAACTTCCTAGGTTCCTTTACTCCTCAGCTTCGTGACAATTCTGCATCCCGTCTCCGTGACATCGATTTCCCGACACATTGATTCGCCCTACCTCTCCAAATCCAAGGCCGAGCTTATCGCCTCCACACTTCAATCCAACATGTCCGACTGTGGCCTTCCTCTCCCAGTCGTCTGCATACAATGCGGAACGTGCGTCAACACCACTTCAACCTCCGAATTTGTATACTCACCTACCTAGAAACCAAAATCCCTGCCACTGCAAGATCGTGGGCCCAACACTAGGCTTCATCGTAACCGTCGGCATGGCTGTACGTTTTCGACCTTTCCTCAGCTGCAGTCCCCAATTCACTCTCGTCTCTGTGCACGGACCACTGACGGTGCGTCTACCCTCATGTAGCTCTTCTGCTGGCCCGCTTCGATCTTGTGCTGCTGCTGTGCGACAAGCTGGGGAAAATCGTGAGTCGTTCGGTTGGGATTTGTTGATATTATGGAAGTGCTGATTTTGCGGGGCAGCGCTCTTGCTTTGCCGGTTGATACGGGGAATGCGATTAGTGATGCTATTCCTTTCTGAGATGATCCAAGGGCCGTTCGAGCATGGGAAGAGGAGTAGCTGTGAGTGGGATTTGAGCGTTGATTATACCCGCCAGCGAATGTCTGGGTGCAAAACTTGACGTAGGTGAATAAAGGTAATTTGGAGCCGCAATTGCCGTTTCTCTCATTCGCACTGGTAGGATATCGAGCCGCATAACGGACGGGTGGCTGCATTCTAGGCAGCATTCCCGTTTGACATGATCAGCGGAGATATTTGCCCATGCTTTGGCTTCACCTCTTGCTTTCTTGGTGGCTTAAGCCGCTTATCAGATACTGGTACATGTTTTAACTAGAGAATCTTCCTGGGTGCTGAGCCGATGGTAGGATGTGGAAAATGTGTTCGATCGTTTTTCATTTACCTGCGCGGCGGTCGACACCTTCTCTCTTGTTCCTTTCGTCTCTTGTATGTATGCGCCGTTTATCACTCATACTGTCCATATCGTCTTTCACTCGCGCCTTTTCTACAGCCGGACGCGTCGCCTCCCCGCAACGCGTCTGTTTAGATTTTCACATTTTCACTACTCTCTAGTCCATAAACACCTACACCAGTCTTTCTCTTCCCTCTTACTTAACCCCCACTCCCGAACAACAACCTCTTTCGACCCGCGCAACCGGTACTTCACAGTCCACATCAACACCCGTTCATCTGTTCCACCTTCCCACACCCAACACTGCAGTCCGACCCCAAGCAATCCCTGCCCCGCGCGCATGGCGCACATGCAATGGCCCGTCGGCGAAGACGCCGTCATCATGGCCGACGCAATCGAACTCAACCTCCTGTATCCGTGGCCGAGGAAGCAACGCGCCATGGACTCTTCCGAGTCGTCGGCGAGTCTGGACCATACGGATCCCGGCGCGACGGCCGTGCTGCGTTGGATCCCGCCGGATGAGATGGAGGGGTGGACGTGGGAGGATGGGGTGAGGGAGATTGAGGCGTTTGATTGGGGGGAGCAGGGTGGTGAGTCGCTGACGGGGGAGGATGGTGATGGGATGAGGCGGGAGGAGGGACAGGAGGAGAAGGTGGATGAAGAGGGGGGAATGGGACGGGGTGGTGAAGGTGAAGGTGAGGGGGAAGTGGGAGGTGAGATGGAAGGTGTTGAGGACGCGGATTCTCGCGGTCTGGATGCGAAGCAGACTTCCTCTCTCTGTGAGGCTATTGAGCATGTCCAAGAAGAGCAAGCTGTCGACGCACGAGAGAAAGATGATGAGCGCATGCAGATCGACACTGATGAGGGAGGTACAACGCAGCAGGACGGCGCCCAGTCTCAAGGCTCGTCAGCAGACATGTCGCTCCTGGCACCGAAATCGAGTGTCGATACGCCGGACGCTACGATATGGCCGAATGAAGTCTCTAATGGGAGCAATGCGAATGGGCAGGAGACTATCGAAGAGGATGGAGCTGAGCACGAGAGCCGATCTTTGAGGGACGCCATGTCAGCCGCGGTTGCTGACTCTGCTCTTCTACCTTTACAGCAAGGGACTCAAGAGGAGGATACAAGGAATGCCGAAGCATTTCTTCATCAAGAACAGAAAGACCTCGAAGATGTTTTCAGCCATGAGGACAAGCCAGAAGAATGCCTCTCCAACGAAAGTCACCCTGAAGCTGCGCTGCCCAATATGGAAGATCTGAAGATTCACGATGATGGCGAGCACGAAGACGAACCTAACCAGCAATTTGCAGCTGATGAAAGTGTCATCGTACCTAACCCGTCCGAAGTTGCCCACGATGAGCGCATCGAAGAGCCGACAGAGGTATCTTTGCCCTCCGTTCCCACATCAGATGGAGTCGAAGCTGCCTCGCCCAACATACAACCAGCGTACCATGTTGACCAATGTGACAACCAGGAGAAAGATGACAAACATCGTGAGGTGGTGGAGCAACCGGACATGGCGATGTCGCAAATCACGCAACTGTCTTCTGCTGTGGCTGATGCAGTGGGCTTCGAAACGGGTGTGAATGTTCAGACGACTGAACCGATTGGCGTTATGAATCGGGACAAAGATCTCAGTTTTCCCGATCCTTCTTTACGTCCTGCCGTGCAGGCTGAAAACGGAGTCGATGACAATAATCGCCCCGATCCTTCCATACGTCCCACCCTTGAGGATGATTCTCAAACAGCACTGCGTCTGTCTGAACACCAGCCTACTATCGATGATGATGATGAGGATTTCCAAGGCGTGGATCCCGAGTATACTGATCCGCCTGAAGCACCTGAAAGTTCGACCATACTGCCTAGCGTCCGTGAGGAGGAGGATGTCTCTTCCCCTGTTGACGCTCGCCCCGCTGATACAGGTCATGCGGGTTCGATGGAGCAGACGCTTTTGTCTGGCTTGGAGGAGGCTGCTGCAGAGGCATTGATGCAATTGGGGTCATCGCATCATTATCATGATGCTACTGCCATGGATGAGGGCATCCTTTCGAGGGATGTGCTGCCGGATATCCGAGATATATTGTCTACATCTCCACAAGCCAGGCCGAACGCTTTGGCCGATACGAACATAGGAATGGGCAGCACACTCAATGGTGGTCTCACAAATCCATCATTCCACAATACCAACGAGATGAATCCAGATCTCCGGCGTGGATCAGAAGTCACTTCAATATCAACCAGACCGCACAACCTCACAACGATGCCGTCCAACACATATCCAACCATGGCGAACCAACCGCCTCCTCCCGCTTCCACAGCTTCAGCTCTTGCCGCTGCAAATACTCAATCAAAACCGCCCCGCAGGGCCGTCGCCTGCACCGAATGCAAAAGGAGAAAGTGGAAATGCGCTCGCGACCCGCCGCGGCCCGAACTACCCTGCGAGCCCTGCCGCAAGGCAAATAAGACTTGTGTTAATCCTACGCAGAATGGTCCAAAGGTTGCTACGAGTTCTCGGTCTGGGTTGCGGAGCCATGCGAAATCCAAGGGTCCTTCGAATGACGCGGTGATGGGGATGCAACCTCCAACAGGTCTAGAGCAGCAAGGTGGATACAGCACTGCGGTTTCTGGCGATGCTTTTGACCGGAGTGCGAGTCAGCAAGGAGGATATCCTTCTGCTAGGCTTGACGCAGTTGGAGTGGATATCGCGCGGTCGTCTCAAAATATGGCCCCAGACGCCGCTCTGCGTCCAGGTGATTACCCTCTTTTATCTGGTAGACCAGACGGAGATTCTTTTGCATCGGATGTCAATCTAATCACAAACCCAGGGAATCTCCCATCTAGCCATGCCGCGGCCGAACAGAAAATCTCTCAACTGGAAGACGACGATGCTGGTGTCATTCCAGACGAGAGCGCTATTCAAAGCATGCTGGCACGCAATACCTCCAGCCCATCAGAGACGGCAGCTGCATTGCCTGAGAAACGTTTTATCAAATTCGCAAAGCAGTCTACGCCCGTGCCGAATATCCACCAGACTCTGACAGCCCTTGACACGCAGACAGACCCTACATTGAATCTGTCGCTCAAAAGCGAGCTCGAGGGGCAACAGACCCCTGAGAAAGCGGACCAGAAAGCTAAGAGCCCTTCGTCGTCGACGCCCAAATTCACGCAGTTCTTCGAGTCTGCAGGAAGTCTTTCTTTAGAGCAAAGCGCGACTCGGAATGCTGACGAGCAACAACATCTTACGCAACATCTGGCCGTTGGGTCTAGCAAGGGCGGAAAACGGGAGAGCTTGACGGATGTTACATCGGAGCTGTCGGAGGTTCCTGCCAGCCTGGAGAGCCCGACGAAGATGGTTGCGACGGGATCTGGGGAAACGACTGAACCTGGGAATATAGAAGCCTTTGTGGAGGAGCAGGAGGAGGGAAAGGGGAAGGGCAAAGGAAAGGAAAATGCCACCATCGAGCCGGAAGGAGATGCCGCTCAACAGCTTCTCACACGAGTCCCTCCCACACAGTCTGCCCTTACTTCCACACCTATGCCCAAACCGAAGATTCCAGCTCCAAAACCGCGCTCTAAGCTTCCGCTTAAAAGAAATAGGACTCTTAATACGCGGGTCAAGAATCCTTCGAGCTCGAAGAGGAAGGATAAGGATTATAAGCCTGGTGTTAGTGAGGATGAGGATGATGAACCTGCGCCGAAGAGGAAGAAGACGGGGAAGAGGGGTTCGGGTGCGGTGAGAGGGAAGGGGAAGGGCAAGGCGCCGGCGAGGAGGGGAAGGGGTGGTTTGGATGGGGCGGATGAGGGGGAGTGGGAGGATGTGCCTGTTGATGTTGGCGGAACTGAAGAAGAAAAAGATGATGAAGGAGAGGAGGAAGAGAGGGTTGAGGGTGGTGATGGAGAACAAGAGGATGAAGGGGATCATGACAGCGACGGAGCAGACGAACAGGACAACACCTCTCCCGACAAGATTTACAACGGCATTGTCTTGAACGCCGCCATCGCAGCACCCAAAACCTCCGATATCCTCTCAGCACCTCGTGGCTGCACCTCCACCATCGGCCGTGCCAAACCCAGAGCCAGCTACCCCAGCTCCACCCGTCGGCAGGGCCTCCGCAACAGCACCCTTGCCCAGGCACCTGCCGTGAATCCTTCTCCTGCAGTCGAACCCACACCTGCTGCTCCAGGCACCACCGCGCAACAAGCACCTAGAAGCGAAGACAAGAACGAAGCTCCCCCCGTCCGCAGTCTCACACCCACAGACCTCAAACCCCGCTACGGGAAGCGGACTACGCGTGCTGATACCCTGAGGGAGAAACAAGCGGGAACTGGTGACGGTGCTGGTAAATGTGGTGGTGTTGATGTTGGTACTGGTGGTCCTCCTACTGCTACTGCCATGGCTCCCCCGCCCAGGGTAATTGTGCGGAAGGGCAAGACGACACCGCCGGTAGCGAAGGAGGCAGCGTCGACGGTGGCGGCTGGGAGTATGAAGAGGAAGGCGCAGGAGGAAGTGTCTAAATCGACTGGAATGAAGAGTCCGCCGCGCAAGAGGGCGAGTAGGAGGGTTGGTGAGAGGGTGGAGAAGGGAGCGGAGAAGGCGAAGAAGCAGACAGGAGGGACGGCCAAAAAGGGAGGAAGGTAGGGTATGTGTGGGTAAGGGATGTGATGGATGGGTTTGCGGTGGAGATGATGAGATGCGATGATGGTGTGTAGGATTTCATGTGGGTGGTAAAAGTGGTTAAAGGGCGTTTCAGGGTCTGGGACAAGCTGCATGGGATGGCGTGTAGTCGAATGGACATAGTGGAACAGGCATGGTGATCGCTGAGGCGAGGCATACTGGGCTTTTAGCTCCTGCAGTTCGTCCACAGCGTCCAACTCCCTAATGGAAAATGAAATAAACTCAAATCTATCGTGATCCAGTGTCTATGTCTTGATACTTCCAAATTTGTCAAAATGCGTAACACCTGCTCCGCTAAGAAGTTACACATAATCTAACTCTTCCTCAGGACTGAATGCCGCCTATATCTTGCTGCTCTTCACTCCCAGACCCTCATCTCTCGTTAACAGCCCACAAATCCAATCCGTAGCCTTATCTGCCATTTCCTTTGGAAACGCATGTCCCACCCCATCGAACAGCACGTCCTCCATCTGGATATCCAAACTCGGGTCTTCGCCAATCATCTGCTTGAATACCTTCAAAAACGGTTCACCGGCTGCATACGGCACGAGCTTATCCGCCTTCCCGCTCAGGTTCAAGATGCGCTTCCCCTGTAGTCTCTCCTTCAAAAGTCGGCGCATACGTTCCAGTTTATCCTGGTTGGGTGGAGGCGACAATTCGGAGGGTTTCGCAGGCGAGAATGAGTCCGGTAGGAGCAATCCGGCCGGGTCATACAATGCAATTGCATCACGCAGCGCGCGCGGGAAGTCCTCCGAGCCCAGAAACTTTGACCCCGGAGGAGAGGACTCGGTATACGTCTTGCGACGCGACAGTCTCGCCCGATCCGTCATGAGGCGCGTATAATCCGGACACCCGATGCCAACGACGGCTGCCGTGATGCGCGGTTCCGAGAGGAGACAGTGCCACGCTGCGTGTCCGCCTAGACTTACGCCCAGAACGAAATGCTGCGTTATCCGTTGGGGATGGTCGGGACCCGAGAAGATGTACGACTCCAGGTGCGATATCAACTGCGAAGTATCCGACGCCGTCCCGTGGTAGCAGGAGAACATATCCTGGGCATGTCTCGGGTTGCCTTCCCGCCAGGCTTCATTGTGCAGCTTTGAGACGAGTCGTGTGCCGTGGTTGCGTTGGTCAAAGGTGATGGCTATTAATCCCCTAGATGTAGATTTCTCTTTTCGCGAGTTGTAGGTATTGATGATTTGAGCGGCGAGCGGATGCATGGTTTCCCTTGTTTGGAGACGGGGATGCAGGAGCCATAGGGCCGTTATGCAGGTTGAGGAGGGCGAAAGCTCCGAGAGGCCGTGGACATCGACTGTGAGGCCGGAGATGGTGAAGGTTTCGGTCGAGATTGGGAGGTCCGAGGGGGTGTGGGTGCCGTGGAGGGGATTCGTGGTTGCGGCCATGGTGGGGATTGGCATCAATTGATCGGTACACAGCTACCGAAGAGTTTTTGAGAATCAGGAATGCTTGAAAAGGAAGATAGAGGAAAAGTCATGGTGGGCTAGGATGAGATGTCGTCGGAATTGTTGCGGGGCCTCCTGGGGTCTTTCCGCCGAGGTTGTCCAACTGTGGCGCACGAGAGCAATCTGGGGAAAGCGGGGAGGTGGCTGATGCGAGCGGTCTGGAAGGCGGTGAGGCGGTGCATGCTGGCTACTTTCCAGATTGGTGATAGTGTGGGTTGTTGGTGGAGATTACTCCCATCGTTCCTGGAAGTGCACCGTTCGTGGGTCGATCACCATCTGCGGTCTGAGAATCATAGAAATCGCCTTTCGATATTCTTTCCCTCTCTTTCAAGTGTTTCTTCGGACCCGGCTGAGCAGGCTTTCCCTCTTCCTCTCCATTAAACCGTGGATTTCGTGTCCGTCGTCATCGTTCGACATTGTTCAGCTCCCCTGAACATGGACATATAGCACACCCCAACGAGCAACACCTACTGCTTGTCTGCGTTGTGTTTGAGCATAGTCATCCTGACTCTATCCGCAGGCGAACCTATCCAGCCGATTAAGGAATATGGACGATAATCTGGATTCCGATGTCTCCCCCATGGGACACACTCCGCCCTCATTGCCGACTGGGAGGTCTGTCGACGGCCTCTCCGAACCACTCAAAGATTCCTCTCACGCCCGTTCGCCCCTTCGTGTCTCTCTTGGCGTCAACGACGTCGACTCCTCTTCCCGCACGATCCACTCAGTTGCCAACGGCCCATCCGTCAGCTCGAAGCCCTCCTCGACCAAGGAACCCGATGAGTTTCCCTTCGACGCTTCTTCGACACCGGCGCCCCCACCTACAAATGATATGTTCAAATCCCAGCAGCCTGCTGATACGCCTTTACCACTATCGGCTGTCAACGGCCCCGCACACCCTCATGGGCCCTCGGCACCAGTCTCGCGAAAGCCCACAATGGAAGGGGAGGAGTCTGATGCGGGACCCAAGGGTCGCCGAAGCGTACAGTTTGCCCGTTCTGCGACTTATGATCCCGTACCCAATTCTCATTCGCGGAACCAGTCTGTGGAGAATGATGAGGGGGACGCGAAAGGGAAAGAGAAGGGTCAAGGGTTGTCCCTGATGACGAAGTTAAAGGCATTGGCGGCCCCCATCTCTCTACAAGGGCACAGCAGGAGCCACAGCGCCTTCGCAGGAGGCACTCCTCCACATGGCATTCCACACGACCAGTTGTCTCCTGCATCAGAACGTGGGGAATTTCGGTTCGATGGCCATGATAGTGAAGCGGATGCCGATGCGGAAGAGAGCGCCGGAGAGGGACCGTCCGGAGCTCCTCGCCGGAAACGAAAGAGCCGACGCTGGTTCGATGACGGCACGCAGACAGCTCCGACAACACCCAAACATGCGAAAGATGGCCACTTCTTCTCAAAGGATTCTCCCGGTCTTACGCCCACGTCGAGTACGGCTTATCGACCCACGTTTCTACGGCGCGGCACCATGAGCGACATCCCTGAAAATCAGAGGGGAGGCGTATCAGAAGATGAAGGGAGAGATAGACTTGCCAAGGATAGATGGGTGCGAGGTCTGCATAGCGCAAGGGGTATGTCGTATGGGGGTTTGCGCCGGCGGGAACCTGGCGCTGAAGAGTCCGAGGAACGTCGACCCAGTCACCTACGAAGACTGACCGGATTCGGTGGCAACGCAGATGGCCAGCCTTCTCCTTGGAAAATACGGAGCGAACGTACGTCGAGCCTCGGCGCGCAGAAGTGGCGCTCGCTCAAGTCCACCCTGAAGATGCTGGGCAAGGGGAGAGCTGAGCGGCAGGTCGATCACATCAAGTCGGCGGAGCTGATGGCGGAATTGCTGGCCGGTGCGCCCGCTGCATTGTTTGTTGCCAGCATGTTTCAGCGCGATGAGCGTGGACATAGGCGTATCCCTGTGCTCCTGGAACAGCTCAAGTGTTCCATCACGGACAGCTACACGGCAGGCGGGGAGAAGGATAAAGCGGGAGAGCGTCATACATGGTTCCGCATCGAACTGGAGTATGGTAGCGGCCTGACGCGGATGAAGTGGGTTGTACACCGATCTATTAGGGATTTTGGCAAACTGCACGTCAACTACAAATTACTCCACCAGCAGGAGCGCCTCTCGTTCGGCGGGGCATCGAAAAACGTTAAGAGGAAGAACTCCCATGTGGACAGAAACAAAGAGAAGGAATCAATTGCTGAAGATGCGAATAGTGCCCCATATAAGAAAACAAAGCTTCCTGCTTTCCCTGTTAGCGCCGTCCCGTACTTGCGGGGACTGCGGGCACTAGGGCTGTCAGACGACGAGGATGAAAAAGAGGCAGAGGACGAAGAGGCAGCAGGAAATGCCAGTGGACAAGACGCCGAAGCTAGTGGCACCGACAGACCGTCCAAGGCGACACGCAAAAAATCTTCGTTCTATATGGGACGCAGAAAGCTGAGCATCGGCAGCCCCGATCCTGGGAATGGACCCGCTACACCGTTCGGTGGACGACAAACGAGCTTCGCAGGAGGCGCCGGTCAAGTGAAGAGGGAGACACCGGTTGAGCGACAGCGGAGGAAGTTGGAGACCTACCTGAACCAGATGATCTCTTTCTTCATCTTCCGGCCGGATAGCAATCGCCTGTGCAAATTCCTCGAGCTCTCTGCTCTTGGGGTGCGCTTAGCGGCCGAAGGAGGCTATCATGGTAAAGAAGGCCACATGATCATCCAGTCTTCCAAAGGCGTTGACCAGCGGAAGAAATGGGCCCCAAGACCCTTGGTGCAGCGCCACTCCCCTAAATGGTTCTTGGTGAGGCATAGCTACATTGTGTGCGTCGATGGCCCCGAGGACATGAATGTATACGATGTTTTCATTGTTGATTCGGACTTTGCCGTAGAAGCACGAGGCGCACGGCAGCCGAAAAAGAACACCAAACAGCAGGCAAAAGATCTCGCGGAAGAGGCGAAAGCCACTGCTACAGGGCATCATCAGCTCAAGTTATACAACGCGGAGAGGAAGATGAAGCTGCTTGTCAAGAACGAGAGGATGCTCAACCAGTTCCTTAGTTCTATCAGATTTATGGCTAGTCAGACGTCTTGGGCGCAGAAGCAACGCTTTGATAGCTTTGCGCCTGTGCGGAAGAAGGTCTACGCTCAGTGGCTCGTGGACGGGCGCGATTACATGTGGAACGTGTCGCGCGCTATTAGCATGGCGAGAGATGTCATCTACATCCACGATTGGTGGTTGAGTCCAGAGCTCTACATGCGGCGTCCTCCAGCCATCAGTCAGAAGTGGAGGCTCGACAGGCTTCTTCAGCGGAAAGCGCAGGAAGGCGTAAAGGTCTTCGTTATAATGTACAGGAACATCAACACCGCCATCCCTATTGACTCGGAGTATTCCAAGTTCTCGCTTCTGGACCTTCATCCAAATGTCTTTGTACAGCGATCACCCAACCAGATTCGGCAGAACACCTTCTTTTGGGCTCATCACGAGAAGATCTGCATTGTAGATCATACCATTGCCTTCTGTGGAGGAGTTGATCTTTGCTTTGGAAGATGGGATACGCCACAACATGGCTTGGTGGATGACAAGCCGACGGGGTTCGAGCTGGACGATTCGCCTAAGGACGCGGACCATTGCCAGCTGTGGCCCGGGAAGGATTACTCAAATCCGCGTGTGCAAGATTTCTACAGTCTCGACAAGCCTTATGAGGAGATGTATGATCGCAGCAAGGTTCCTCGTATGCCATGGCACGATATCGGCATGCAAATTGTTGGACAGCCCGCTCGCGATCTGACGCGACACTTCGTCCAGCGATGGAACTATCTCCTCCGCCAGCGTAAGCCTTCACGGCCTACACCGTTCCTTCTTCCACCACCAGACTTCAACCCCGCTGATCTTGAGGCCCTTGGTTTAGACGGCACTTGCGAAGTGCAGATTCTGCGATCTGCATGCTCGTGGTCCTTGGGGACGCCGAACAAGACGGAGCATAGTATCATGAACGCCTACGTTCAGATGATCTCGACTTCTCAGCACTTTGTGTACATTGAAAACCAGTTTTATATCAGCACATGTGAAGTCCTCGGCACAAAAATAGAAAACAGGATAAGTGATGCCCTTGTCGACCGGATCAAACGCGCCCACAAAAACCAGGAGGATTGGCGAGCCTGTATCATCATCCCTCTCATGCCCGGCTTCCAGAACTCGGTCGATCAACAGGAAGGAAGCAGTCTGCGTCTCATTATGACGTGCCAGTATCGCAGTATCTGCCGCGGCGAGTCTTCAATTTTTGGCAGGCTGCGAGCAGCGGGTATCGAGCCTGAGGACTACATTCAGTTCTATGCCTTGAGGTCTTGGGGAGTACTCGGTCCTAACAAGGCGCTGGTGACCGAACAGCTGTATATACATGCCAAGTGCATGATCGTGGATGATCGGGTTGCTATTATCGGTTCGGCTAACATTAATGAACGCTCCATGCTTGGGAGCAGAGATTCGGAGGTTGCTGCGATTGTTCGAGACACTGAGATGCTGGACTCTTACATGGCTGGGGAGCCATACAAGGTTGGCAAATTCCCTCATACGCTTCGTATGCGGTTGATGCGCGAGCACCTGGGCGTAGACGTGGACCATATCATGGAGGAGGAATGGCAGAGCCATATGTCGGATGACGCCAGTTCTCACTTCCACACGGATTCGTCTACACCATCCTCACCCGAGCGGGAGATGGAGCAAAAGCTCGCCGAGAATCAGGCTCGTCTACAGGATGAGCTTATTGCTCGCGCGGAGCGACTGCACAGCTTCAACCACGACATTGACTGGGAACAAGCAAACAACCCGCATCTTGTCGCCAACAAGAAGCCCGCGACCGATCGCAGGGTTATCGGGAATGCCGCGCACCGGAAGGATGTTCGCGGGGAGGGGCCAGATCATTTGCAGGCGTTCGAACATAGTCGCCCTGAGTTGTCCAGAGGACGCGACTCGTATGTCGATGACCACGGCCACGAGGTGTTGGCTTCGGATGTTGCAATCGAAGGGCCAAACAATACTACCAAGAAGAGCCCTCCGCCGACCAGGAATCGCAGCAATACAGTGACTACAAGGACCAGTGCACAGTCGAGCTCCAAAGAAGGTAATATTGCACTTCCACCATCCCGGATCCCTCGCATGGACACCCAACAGCTCGGACTGACCCATTTGAGCCAACTTCCCGCCTTGCCTGTGTCGGACGACACTGACATCGGTGGGCCGCCTCTGTCACGCACTTTCAGTGCCGCATCGTCCCACATCATCCAAACTCTACTGGCCGATATGCGCCGACCAGTTGTTACAGAAGATTGCATGAAGGACCCACTCATTGATGCTTTCTACTTGGACACATGGCACACTGTCGCTGAGAACAACACAAAGCTGTTCCGGCACGTGTTCCGCTGTCAGCCCGACAACGAAGTCAAGACCTGGAAACAGTACAAGGAATACGCCGCTTTTGCTGAGCGCTTCAACCAAGCTCAGGGACAGGGTAAGTCTCCACTCCGCAAGATGCAAGAGTCGCCTGGCAAAACTGGACCCCCCGGCACTGGCGCCGTGCCAGTTTCTCTGGCAGCCGTCGCCGTCCAAGCAGCGAAACCGGCAGAGGCATTCTATGGAAAACTTGCGGAGAACGCGGGGACAGACAATGGAAAGCATCCACCGCAGGGCAAGGTGGAAGATTGGGCTCAGGAACAGGAGCGACATGTCGCACAAGCCACCAAGCCGGCCGCTGGTGACGACGTACTGGGCGACAAAGTAACACTCCAGAGCACTCCCCCATCCAACGATGCCATCGTCAGCCCCATTGGAGAGAAAGCACCCACTGAGACCTTTGTCTTCCCTCCTCCTCCGCCAGTCCCAGACACTGTGTCCGACCTGCCTGACTACTTTTCTACCACTGCTGCCGCAAATAATGCCAATCTCTCGCGCAACCGCACCGTCACTATCAGCGAACCCACCAGGGAAGCATCCACGCGCACCGCAAACGGAAACCTTAACATGAACTCCGTTGCCTCCGCTGGCAGCCGCAAAGGTCGCCGTCGTGGTACAACTAAGAGCTCGACGCGCGCCTTCCATGCCCAAGACAACGATATCCTTCTAGACAAGGAGGATGCGAAACGATTGCTGGAGCTTGTGCAGGGGCACCTTGTGGTTTGGCCGTATGACTGGTTGGAGAAGGAGGAGAGTGGCGGTGGGTGGTTGTATACGGTGGATCAGATTGCGCCGTTGGAGATTTAGTGAGTACCCTTTTTACTGTGCGTGGAGTTAGGAGTCGGAGTGCTGACTTTGACTAGTACTTGATTGATTGGGGGGTCTTTGGATGTTTGGTGAGCCAGAGGCATGTGGCCGATTGTTGAGTGCTGTACTGGTGGGTTTGAGCAAGTTTTCCCCGGTGTTGTCGTCACAGCGCTTTTTCTTTCATAATGGTTTTTCGCTCACACACGGTTTCTCTCCTCGTTTTGTTACTTGGCGTCTCATCAGGGTATGCACCCATGTCTTCCTTCTAGCAGACTTTTCTTGCATTGTTCTGGCGTGTGTCCCACATTCCTTTGATTCTGGAGTGTATTCTTACCTAGGTATTATTCGTGTGTAGTAGCATTACAGTCCGCGTTGGAGCTGTAGAGGGTCTTTAGCGGACAATGCGCATTTCATCTTATTTCCTTTCGTCCTCAGTTCTATATTATTGAGTGTATAGGAAAGGGGAAGGCGACGCTAAGGCGTTGTTGCCATCTTCATTGGTTATATATCTCTAATGTATATATTATATTAGTTTAGTGACTCAATCTCAGCAGTTACGAACTCAAATAAATAGATTATCGGATGTACTTGTGTGTGTATAGTTAACATAAATCCCCATATAGTACCTTTGCGTTTCCGGCTCGCTTTCTGCTCGCTGATTGGTCAGCCATGTAACCAGGAAGCTCCGGCAGTGCCAGCCTTGGCGTCGTCAACCTCACAACTGCTTGTTCGCCAGTTGCTGGACTCCAAGAGACGATATCGCCAGCCTTTGCCATGGAAGGGTTGTTTTATAATGTCAAATACGGGTATGCGAACTCTGCCCATTCCTGGTCCCTTAGACGCACCATTTTCCAGACATACGCAGGCCTTTGACTGACTTGCACTCCAGCTACATCGAGGGCATCGTCCGTGGATACAGGAACGCCCTCCTCACAAGCCAAAACTATAGCAATCTGACGCAATGCGAGACCATCGATGGTACCAGTCTCCTCTCCCAACTCATCGGCTTTTCTAACACAGCGCGTAGACGTCAAACTCCAACTGTCCCCCGCCTACGGCGACTTCCTTGCATCCCTTCCTCCCAACCCCTCCACCTCCGCCCTGGCCGCCAAAACGACCGACAAACTCGTCGCCGAATTCCGCTACCTACAAGCCAACGCCACAGGTTCCCTCGCAAAATTCATGGAGTACCTGACGTACGCCTACATGATCGACAACGTCGCCCTGCTCATCACCGGCACGCTCCACGAGCGCGACACGCGCGAACTCCTCGAACGCTGCCACCCGCTGGGCTGGTTCGAAACGATGCCCGTGCTCTGCGTCGCCACCAACATTGAGGAGCTGTATAATTCCGTATTGATCGAGACGCCGCTGGCACCATACTTCAAGGGCTCGCTCTCCCACCAGGACCTCGACGAGCTCAACATTGAAATCATCCGCAACACGCTCTATAAGAACTACCTGGAAGATTTCTACCACTGGGTCAACACGGCGGATGAGATTGCGGGCACCCCGACGGCCGAGGTCATGTCCGAGGTGTTGGAATTCGAGGCCGATAGGAGGAGCATCAACATCACGCTCAACTCGTTCGGCACCGAGCTCAGCAAAAACGATAGGAAGAAGCTGTATCCCACTTTCGGCCGTTTACACCCGGAAGGTACATTGATGTTGTCGCGTGCCGACGATGTCGAGGGCGTGAGGATCGCCGTGGAGAGCGTCGCGGATTATAAGTCGTTCTTCGACCAGACGGGATTGAATCAGCAAGGGGGCGGCGGTGGAGGCGGGCTGGGGAATATGGCTGGGGGTGTGGGCGGGGAGAGCAGGAGTCTGGAGGATCTGTTCTATCAGAAGGAGATGGAGATTTCGAAGTTGGCGTTTACGAGGCAGTTTACGCATGCCGTGGTGTATGCGTGGGTGAAGCTTAGGGAGCAGGTGAGTCATCCCATTTTCCCGGTCTTTGGTGAGACTGGTTAGCGTGGAGTGAGTCTCTTCTTGCTGACCCCGGTACTTATAGGAGATCCGTAACATCACCTGGATAGCGGAATGCATTGCGCAAAACCAGAAAGAGCGGATTGGGAATTACATTAGCGTCTTCTAGACGGGTTTTTGCGGGGTGGGTAATGGGTTGTACTGTATAGCCTGGCGTCATAGGGAGTACTTGGTGGTATTGGGGCTGTAGATGTGTTATTTTGGGTTAGAAAACGAATCATTGTCCAAGCCTTGCTCTCCAACAACATATGCCGTGGTGGTGGTCTGACAACATAGCGGTCCTCCAATCGCTGCAGCATGGATGTTGCTATTTAGCACTGCGTGATATATGTCCATCGTACTCTGTGTCCCTGAGCACCTTTCGTTCCCTCTAGCTACCCAGTCTAACATGAAGCGACTCTACCAAATCTCCCTCCTGTCCTCCAAAACCACAGATTTGATCATCGGTCTCTGGATTGCACCCCTGAGCCAACTCCAATGAATCTTCATAGTACTTCAGCGAGATAGTCCTAAGCACCTTGTGATATTATTTTGCCCGCTTCATCAACACGTCTCCCAGCTCGGTCCGACGTCCGCACGACATATTTCTTCTCACACCGTTCTTCCAACTGTCCCTCATTAACCAGGGCCCTTGTTCTATCTCCTCGGAGGCTTCAAGCGCAAAAAGTGAAATACACGGAAAGGCAAAAACAAAATTTCCGACACCGGGAATCGAACCCGGGCCTTGCCGGCGCTGGTTGAGCGTACAACTCTGCTTGAGAGCGGCAAATCCTAGCCACTAGACCATATCGGATGATTTGATGAAAGGTAATATGCATTCACAATTTATGAATCAAGTTCTCCAGCTGCCGACGGAGGCGTGGGGCGATTACTTAAGTTTTGGCAAAGCCAATTGCCCGTTCTAGCGTCCGGCTCGGCTCTTTACGCTGTTCCTCTCTAAGTGGGATTTACTATTTCGGCGTAGTCTTTTTGGTTACAATGTTTGGTCTATTAGAGGAATAGGCTTTAAGACCCAGTTATGCCTGCTGCAGAGGTGCTGGGTGGCCAACAGGAAAGGCTGCCATGTTCTTGCGGACTCCCGCCAGTTCAATTGAACGTGGTGAACTGCAGTGCTTCCCTAAGACACCCACTTATGCGATTTGCAGACAAAACTGTTTTCCTTGCTACGAAGGGCAACCCCTCAAAAATGGCCCAGCTCAGGAGAGAAAACTTCACGTCTCGCTTACTGTAGGCTTACGGGATTGAGAACATAGACGATAGGAGTCATTTCGCGCCGCTCTATTCTGGGCTACCAGAACCCAGTTCTAGAAGTTGGCAAGAAGGGCCCATGTCTCCGTCACCCAGCTGCCGTGCCATCTCCTTTCCCATTCCCCCTCCCACCGACTCCGCCGCCCTCCCACAGCCCATCTCTCACCCCTCTCCAAACCCTCTCCAACACCGCCCTCCTAGGCAAAAGCTTCGGAAACACCACAACCACTTCCGGCTCCCCCTTCACGACCACCGCGAGATAGAACCGCACTTCGAAACCGCGAAACGCCTCGTGGATGAAGATGTCCTGGATGGAGGGAGTAGGGATAAAGCGCGTTGTCGGGGCGGAGAGGAAGGGGAAGTACGTTGGGCTGGATGTGAGGGTTTGGAGACCGAGGGAAGGGAGGATAAGGAGGGCTTCTTCTATATTGAGAGTTAGGAGCAGGTGCGCTGGGCTGGTAGAGGATCGGGGGGACGAACCAGTGTAGCCGCGACGCAGGACGAGGTAGAGGACGAAGACGGCGCAGGGAATGAAATATCGCCATTGAGCTGCCTCTACGCTCTGTATCACCCGCGCCTTATGCGCTCCGAATATGGTATCGCATATCCATTTCCACCAACCAGCATGGGAGTGATATCCAGCATGGACCGCCCATTTTAGCCCCAGCGCTAGAAGCGCGCATACCCCCAGGAATATCCGCAAGAGGATAAAGAAATAGTACCTCGTCCATTGCGGCAGCGTGGTTGGCGCCGTGCGCGTTGAAACGGTGTATTGCACTGTTGACGGGGTTGGGCGGAGCTCTGTCAGGGTGTGCTTTGGAGGGGATGTGGCTCGCTGCAGAAGCTGCAGCATGGCAGGGTAAGCATGATTGGGAGAAGTGGCTACTGCATCTGCTTGAACCGGTGACGGAGGTCGAAGCGGCATTATTCTGAACGGCACCACATCCGTTGCAGGCTGGACGTTTGCTCACAGACGACGATGGATGATGACCGGCAATCTTCAAATGTTCAGCCCTACGCGGGAAGAAGCGAGGTCCAAGCTTCTTGCATAGATTCTTGGCACTACAATCAACTTCATCAATCCAGCTTCCGTCCACCATTTCCATATCATAACACTCCCTTGCAAAATGCCATCTCCTTCTCCCGAGCCAACCTCCAGGCCTCAGCGCGACTCTCCTCCCCCACGCCGTCGCTCACGATCCCGTTCCCGTTCCCCTCGCCGCGACAGCGACCGACCGCAAGATGTGCGCAGGCGCTCTCGCTCACGATCTCCGCCCCGCATGCCCAAACCGAAGAATTTCTCCGGCTTGAAATGGAAGAAACATGACCGGCGTGATGATGATCGGGAACGTGACCGGGACGATAGGCAAGGAGGGTACGGTCGAGATCGGTACGACGACGATAGGAGGAGTGGATACGGGCGAGATGAGCCGAGGGGAGGGGGTTATGGAGGGCGCGGCAGGGCTGAAGGTTCTGGGGATAGGTATAGAGGCGGGGACAGGTACCGGGACTCAGAGAGGAGATATGACAGGAGGGACGATAGGGGTGGAAGGGAAAGAGACGACAGACGTGACCGACCGCGAGACGATCGCGAGAGGAAGCCTAGGGAAGAGAAGGCGAAACCAATGGCTGCGCCTGTAGCGCCAGGCCAGGAGATGATTATCGTCACTGTAAACGACAGTAAGTATCCCTCTCCAGACTGTTCAGCAACACCCTAAACTCTCTGGCTAGGACTTGGCACAAAAGCGCAAATCCCTTGTCTACCCTCCGATCCGATCAAGGTATTCAAGGCAATGGTGGCGGCGAGGATTGGACGTGCGCCGCATGAGATCATGTTGAAGAGACAGGGTGAGCGGCCGATGAAGGATGCGTTGACCTTGGAGGACTATGGAGTATCGAATGGAGTTCAACTGGATTTGGAGTTGGATACTGGTGCCTAGTGGTTTAAGGCGGACAAAAAGAGCAGACTTTCTGGAGAGTATGAAATGAATGTCCTTAGAGGCAGGATACTGATCAAAAGGATGCGGGCAAGTACACCGGTCCTCACTATCTGCTCTAAAACAAAGCACATCAGCATGCCTGATGTCTCAGTAATAAAAAGGATCGAGGAGGCTAGCTTAAAGATTATTTGAATTATACCCTACAGTATATTCGGAAGATGCCAATTGATTTCCCAGCTTCGTTCTAATCAACATGCGTTCTGCTCGTTTCCTCTATGCTCGAATTGGGTATCTATATGCGAATCGAACTTGAACGCAATCCATCACTCATCAATATCCTCCTCCTTTGGTCTCCGTTGATCCTCCTTCAACCCCTTCTTCTTCGCATACCTCTCATTAACCACCTCAACCGACTCCTGCCTCTCCCGCTGCAGCACAGGAACATACTTCCCCTTCGCCCTCCCCACGTCAGCCCCATCAAACACCCTGGGCCCAACCTCAGCCAATTTCACCCCGCTCCTCTCCGCCTCCTCCATCTCCTCCCTTTCCCGCCTGGCCTCCTCCTCTAACGTCACCTTGCCATTCCCGGCAATCGTGTCCAACAACAGCGCCCCCAACGTCTCCTCAATCTTTCTCGCCCTCCAAACCTCCCACACATCGTCAATGACGCCTCCCCTGCCCCATTTCCCATTCCCAATACCACCCCGTCGACTCTTTGGCTCGACTGCTCCCGGATCCCCCACATATATCCAATTTAGCCGATCCTCATACCCGACCTCCCGCTCTTCACTACTCTGCACTTCCTCCGGCGAAGGGAAGATGCAGTCCCAGAGCACGAGTGGGGCGTCGGAGGCCATTTCGTATTTGGGCCGTGTCGGGTTGGAGGAGACGTCCAGAAGAGACGGAACAAGGGAGGGATATTCGAGACCCTGGCCTATGAGGAAGAGGATGGCGACTATGGAGCGGACTTGGTGCCAGAGGAAAGCTGATCCATGAAGTGTGAAGGCGTAGAGCTTAGGCGCTTCTAACGAAGATGAGGGGTTGCCTAAAGAAGGGTGGGAGAGGAATGAAGGGAGGGCCAGGGGAGAGACTTCGTCGATGGAGGCGTGGAAGATGCGTCGCTTGAAGTTAGTAATCTGCTTGCTGGCATCAACCTTGCAGAAATTGCGGAAGTCGTGTAAACCAACGAGGTGGGTGCATGCGGTGCGCATGGCCTCGATGTCGAGCCAGCCTTCGCGCATCTTTTCGCGCCCAGGGGACCCATTTGATACGGGCGTATAGAGGGAGGCGGCACCAGGAACGGGAGCGAAACTTGGATTGGTGAAGAAATATTTGTAGCGCCGTTCTTTGCAGTGGAAGCGAGCGGAGAAATCAGCGCCGGGATTGGGACACCAGGCAAAGATTCGGATGTCTGGTGGGAGGACGCGGTTGAGAAGTTGTATGTAAGGGAGTTCGTCCTTCAGGTCGTCGAATTCTTTGACCTCTTCCTGCTCTTCCTCCTCTGGCCGTTCTTCGAGCAAGTCCTGCGTGTCGACTTCGCCTGCGACCTCCACAGGAGGTTTCTTGATTCTCGCCAGCGGCCGATTACTTCTCACTCTTATACCAATCACCTGTCCAAAAGCACTCACACCCCTATCTGTCCTGCCACACTTTGAATATTCCGTTCCCTCCCAATTGACATCCGCGCCTGCGCCCTCTCGATCCCACTTCTCATACTCTTTCCTTCCCACTCGGCCATAATCTAAAGATCCGTTGTTGCCCTCTTTACCTCCGTTCTCGTCCTTCTTTACAGGGCTGATCAGCCGCGTCTTCACTAGCGCCTTCCACAGCTCCTCCTCTATCGTCGGCAACGGCGTAGTGTTGTTCCTATGATGTTCGAACCCATTGTAAGCCTGGCCCAGGTATGCAAACTTCAGCGCTATGAGGCGTGTGCTGTATTTTGAGAAATCAAACGGCTTCGGTGGCGCTTTCGGTGGCTTTGTATATGCCGACGGAGCTTCCGAAGGAGTTGTCTCGGGTAAGGCAGCGGAGGCAGGTATCGATGTAGTTGTTGACGTCTCGGTCGGTGTTGCTGCGGTCGCCGATGTCGCGGCTACCCTCCTTTCCAACTCTCTAATCCGCTCAATCAGTCTCTCCTGGGTCCACCCCTCGTACCCCTTCGTCTTGCCCTCCATCTTCGTGCTGCTGATCGCTTTCTGGTTCGCTAGTACGCGGCGTGGCACACGCGACAGTTTGTGAAAAGCGCTTTTATGAATGCGGTATTGTGACACGGGATATGATCGCGCTATGCGACAGTATACTTGGGGCTGGGAACACGAATATGGAAGCTGGAAAGGTACCAGCTTCATTGCTGGGAAAGAGAAGGCTACATGGTAGCCTGGCCGGAACTTTTTTTGAGGTTTGCGGGGAAGCGGGGAAGGTTTAGGCGAGCCATCGGACAAAGTTGCCACATAGACACATGTATCTCCAGTACAATATCGAATGCGAATTAAATACACCTAAGGGGGAAACATTTTGTGTCCGTTACTTAGGCGTGTAGAGTGGACGAGTCCTCTGCACTCGTTCTGTAATTCGTTACTTTTATATTTACCTGTTGGAAACAAACCAGAAACCCATGAATGATAAGTCTAAAGAAATGTATTCATCGATCATTACGGTCGTCAAAAACCCATCCTCAGGCCGCATTCCGCACAATCGTCTGTCCTAATACCTGTATCGAGTGGAGTAATCCTTTGGGCTGACGACCAGACCTCTCCCCTTCTTGGCACCGCGGTAAATTGTCTCGATGATATCGATAAGCTCTTGCTTGTCTTCCAGTACCCAGTTCAACTTGTTGTTGTTGCCGGTTCCGAAATCGCACATCTAGAGATTGTTAGAGTAAAGAAGCGGGTATGCAGTGGGTTCGGGTCTTACCATATGCTTATTCCGGAAGAAGAACATGACTGTGCAAGGATCATACAACTCGTACATGGCCTTGAAGTCCGGGACTTCGTCGAGGTCGCAGACGTATAGCACGGCAAAGTTCTTGACACGATCGGCTATCCTGCATATCCTGTGAGAAATGTGGGAGACATGAGGGAGAGTATCTACATACTTGTAGAGAACCTCGTCCATGCGCATACAGTCGGGGTCGGCATCTCGGCCAAAGCGGATGACTACGAGCCTGTCTTCCTCTGTTGTGCTGTTAGTTTTGTATAGCAAGGTTAATCAGGTTTGGCTTACCGCTTAGAATCGCCTGGTCCACATGCCATCCTGTGCGAAGGTGAGGGAGGACGACGGAGCCCATTGTGCCTCGCTGGTCGAATTCTTCTGATTAAACGATTGCTTTGAATGAGTGAATGTGATCGACGTTACGCGAGAAGCTTTTCGTAGGGTAGGTTTTCTGAATTTGCCTTCGATGTGGCCGGATGCGAAGAAGATACTAAGTAGTTGGTGAAGGCTGCCACTCACGTGCTGCTGCTGGAAGGTTCGCCACTACCGTTTCCCGCTTAGCGTCCTGCTAATCAGGTAGAAGGCCTCCGCAGATCGTGCACGGACTCGGATCGTGCACACCCTTGTGGCTTTCGTACACTGAATTTTAAACAAAAATATCTTGCTGAATATGGGTTCAATTGAGGCCGTGCTTGCTGCGTTGGAGTTGCAGGAGTCTCCGAATTACTCTGCAACTGCTGCTGAGTTCAATATTGATCGTACAACGCTATCGCGGCGACATCGAGGCCTCACCACCTCGAAGGCGGTTGGTAACGAAACTCGCAGATTTCTCAGCGACAATCAAGAGTTACAACTCATCAAATATATCAACCATCTTTGCGACCACGGGATACCTCCTACGCCTCAGATATTGCGTAATTTCGCTGCAGAACTTGGTGGAAGACTGCCCTCAAAAGACTGGCCTTCGAGATTCGTCAAACGCCATCGAACGAAGCTGAAATCAATCTACCTAGAAGGCTTTGATCTAAGGCGCAAAAAGGCTGAATCTTATACAAATATCAAGCATTATTTTGAGCTGGTAAGTGGCTTCTAGGTATCATGTTCTTATTACTAATTTTAACCAGATTGCTGCAAAAATCAAACAATATGATGTCCAGCCACACAACATCTATAATATGGATGAAAAAGGCTTCTTGCTAGGCAAGCTGCAGAAGACGAAGCGAATAGTCTCTAAACAACAGCTTGACAGTGGCAAATTGATTGGATCTGGCCAAGATGGCAATCGCGAGTGGATCACGTTGCTTGCGTGCATCTGTATGGATCACACCTCCCTACCACCAGCAGTTATCTACCAGGCCCAAACAGGCAACCTTCAGGACTCATGGCTTAATGATTACGATCCAGGGAGTCAGTGCGCCTTCTTTGCAAGTAGCCCGAATGGCTGGACGAGCGATAAACTTGGATTCCATTGGTTAACTCGGATTTTTGATGCCAACACTAAGAAGAAAGCACGTCTTGCA